ATTATAAACAGACCTGACGTTTAACATTTACATACTTCAGTCTGCCAAGTCAAATGCACACAGAAACACCCTAAAATGTTCCCTCTCCGAATGTATATGGTCTACTACACAACACTGCAGAAATGAAAATTCTCTGGAGCTGAGCTCTGCTTATGATTTCTCCCAACCAACTCTCAATCCATCATATTTGCCCCATAAAGCCAGAGAATATAATTAAATGAACTGCTAAAGCCATTAGGCAGTTGTGCAGGCAGTACTTAACAGAGAGGAATGTGAAAAAGGAGACAAGGAGGCTGAGAATAAGGTCACCCTGATATTGGTACAATATTAGAGGCGAAGGGAAATACGTGATGATCTTACGTGCCAAGAAAGCTATGAAATATGAATTGTACCTACTGCAGTGTTGATATAGCTGATGAAGACTAAATTTCATTAATTGAAATAAAGCTGAAATTAAATAAAATCCTCAATTAAGCCATCCAAACTCCCTAAATTACAAACTTTGGCCCAATTCGAGTTTCTACAGTAACAGCGTAGACCTTCTTTATTTGGCAGATTAGTAAAGACACTGAGCGTTTCAGGATTATGGGTAGTGTAGTTCAGCTATTACACACGACAGTGATGGTGGGAACAGAGCTGACTGTAAGGGCTAGGCAGTTTGCAAACCAATCAGTCATCAATCTTAAACAAACATCCTAGGGCAGATCCCTCAATGCTCCGGTGCCATGCCAAATGCACACTCACACAATATTTCACAATCCATGTCTCAACACAAATCCAACAAATGAAGCACGCTTTTCTCAGGCACAGATTTCGACACCAAAACAAACATCTCAGTAATGTGCATGAGTCTGATGGTAGGAATAAAATCTTGCCAAGCTCTGCTTTGGTAATGTGGAGGTTTGGAGACAGACACTTAAAGAGCAGTTCCACTAGTGGAAGATAATTACAATACCATCATGCCGACCACACAGAGGGCAGTTGGTCTTCAGGGGGGTGGGTGGGGGGGGGGGGGAGGAAAAGGAAGTTTCTTTGGAATGTGTCCATGTCAGAGCAGACAAGAGTGAAAGCTCTTCTGAGGGAAATCTGGGAGCTCAGATCCTGGTACTGACTATAGCTATACTATAGACGATGTTGCGAATTTAACATGCAAAATTGAATATGCTGCATAAAACATTTGCGAATAAAGAATTGTTTCCCATCCCACATGTTCAAGAGAACATCTGCAATAAAAATGGAAGTTGCTGCAATCAGGGAAGCCACTGTGGCTCTTTTTTGTACATCATAAAAGACGTACAGACAAAATGCAATAAACGCTGCCAAGTTATCTTGCGTTCGGATGCTTGATGTTTGGGAATGCATTTGTGTGAGATAGGTCTTCTGGGAGGTCATTATAGCAAATAACTTCGATTACAGACTTTGACCCAGGCATTTCAGAATGACTTAACATTGAAGATGGTGTGCAATGAGATTGGATAACTGCACTAACCAGCGAACCAATCACATCCGTTGAGGCAAATTATTATTTTTATGCCACATTTTTTTAATGCACATTTTTAGAATGTATGCCCATCTTGGCTTTATCATCCTGTGTTTTTTATGCACTTAAAAATGTGTATAAAGACAGGTGCATGAAAACATAGCTAATGAGAATATGCTCTGAAAGTACTGGGAAGGGGAAAGGTAACGTGGAAATAGAAAAGATAAAAACGTCTCTTTGGAATCCAGTACCAAGTGTTCTGACCAATGAATCTTTCCGTGCCTGGACATTCTAAGCTGTCCATGACCATGGGAAACTTGTAGAACATTCTCTGCTATATGATGTGTGAAAGAATTCACAAATATATGATTTAGAATGAAAAAAGGGTGCTAACAGAGCACATTACTTTGAGAGGTTTAATGAGAGTAACCCAGGGCCCGGGTCTGGAAGAAACCACAAGACAAGGGCATGTGTATGTTCATGTGAATGTCTAAGACTGAGACCTTTTGTGAGTGTGTGCTGCTTGTTTATGAGTCACTCACTGAATGAGTCTCATGTGATACTTGGTGCCACTCCTTGTTCCTTTTTTAATTTCATTACAAGCTCAAAAGCAAATCAAATTAGCGTTACCGTATAGCAGCCACTTCAAAGAGAAACTCTGAAGCCTCACACTGAAGATATTGTGCTTGCACTTCATTACCCAATGAAACAAACTATCACAGAGCAACTCAATTACACTGATATAGTGCAATAAAAAATCTAATTTCAAGGAATAATTCTTAACTTTCTTTACATGTTACAATCATACAAGCTCAGCAAAACCTGTCTGCTGGAGTCATTCACGCTTATCTAGCAGGAAATCCCAAATCACTTTGGTCATCATGGTCCTGTTTTATTCTTTAAAGAAGAGCATGATAATGAAACCCTCAGAAACCTTCAGATATCATCCTGATATTTGATATTTTTATATATTCTGTGATACACTCTTTCAAGATTATTTGATGTATAGAAGGTTTAAAATAGCAGTGTTTATTTGAAACAGAAATGTTTGTAACAATATAAAAGTTTATACCATCACTTTTGATCAATTCAACGCATCCTTATTGGATAAAAGGATTCATTTCTTTCCAAACTTCTGAAAGGTATTGTGTATACAATATTTTTCATTCAGCATTACATTTTCTTTGGTATACGTGGACTGCAGAAGCTGAATTATTGAAAATCAAATGCACAGCCTTCTTCGTGTCATGGCCATATTACCATCTCAGGTGCATTACATTTTCAATAATTCAATAGTCTGTCATCAAATACTGCACATATTCAACATAATGTGCTCCTCGTCTAGTTCATAAAACATTCCATTAACATTTTCTAACAAATGGGTTTTGAATTTGACAGCTCAAACACTTTAGATAAATGATATTGTTTGATTATACATGGCCAAGGAGTGAGCTTTTTGCATTCATGGAATTTATGGGAAAACTGGGATTAAGTACAGCTGATATAAAATCTGACAAGGGGGAATTTAGCAACTGATACATGCCTTGCTCGAGGACACAGCAGCAAGGCCAGAACTATAATAAATAAATAAAATAAAATAAATTATAGCACAATACACTCTAAAGTTTTATGAGAGTAGATAAAGCAATATGCTGTTTTTCTTTTAGCACAATACACTTGAATTTAGCATATGATGAAAAAGATTACGATGGTATACTTTGATCAAATTGCAGTGTTATTCAAGGATCTGTTGCTACAGTAAGTGAAGCATGCTGGGATGTGAATTATAAACATGCTGTGCTCAACATATGTTTTAATTGTCCTGAGAGCCTCATTGGTGCTGAGTCCAACAGTAAGCAAGCCTTATGTTCATCATGGAAAATTCCCATTTAAACCAACTAATAATGGAGTCACATAAACCCTTGAGCAAAAATCTCATTCTCATTCATTCAGACCAACTCTGGACTAACTTCTATTTTTGCCTGAATTCCAGTCAGTTCTGTTGATGACATTCTGTGGAGCATTAGCAATATGAGAGGACCAACAGACAAACACACACACACTATTGGAAGTAAGTTTGGGGTGGATTGTGCACTATGACCTCTCTACAAAGCTCTATTACAAACATTCTCTGTTTAGAAGAATCCCGCTCTATTAGTGTACCACAACTTCCATTCCACGAACATCCCATTAAAGCATTTCCTGCATCCCCCCACCCCCACCCCCAACTCCAACTACTCAAAACAATGTAATTTGCTTCTCAAAATGGCTCCAACTTCACAATCACCTCAAGATGGAAGATTTGACCCCAAAACATGCTTCAACAAACAAAACAATATCATAAACCTTATGAGATAATGTAAAATATGTGCAGCACATAAAGCTGTCAGCCATTGTAAACTCAAAGATAAGCAGATTGCTTAAAAAAATTGAGACAGGAAGTGCTGAGGTCATTCTATTCCCAATCCCCACCCACTATTTTGAGAAGATGACTTTATCCATTCTCTAGACTACAGGAAGATGATGTAGGACTTTGACCTCACCTTTCCCTTGTCAGTAAAGAGGGAGTCATCCAATTGTGAAAAGACAACAGCCTACTGTAGACGTATCCTCTATGAATTAGCTTATGAATATTTCATACAATAAAAAAAAAAAAAAAAAAAAAAAAAAAAAACATACATGACCTCCTGAACAAAGGTTATCCAAATGTTGAGCATGACAGATCATCCAGACAGCCTCCTTACTGCTGTTAGGCTCCCCATGCATTCCTGAGATTCCATATCTGATATGTGCTTTCTCTTAAAATGTGCAAAAAGCAGGGAAGATGGAAAGTTAACAGTTCTCTTTTGCCATTCCCAAATGCGATTTCATCAAATGATAAAGGGATGATCAATAAGTAAAACATTATTTAAATTATACTTGCATTGTTTCAAAAAATATAAAAAGCAAATTATGCCCAAACTCCTGGCACTGCTAGGGAATCTACTAGCAATCCACTGTCAGTATTTATTTAAACCTGTTCCACCCTAGCCACACCTGACCAGACAGCTCTGAAGAGATGCAGGCCAACTTTCCACCCATACAAATTAATTTCGACTTCACTTTAATTTATATTTCATGATTTATTTGAGATATCAATCATACTTAGGTTGCGCAACTCACATTCATCTTGTAGATTCTAATGGCAAAGCGATGATTTGAATCCTCTTTTTTTTTTACACAGTGAAATCACTGTTATTATCTTACTGATTATTTATGCACTGCATGTATGTAATTCAAAACTTGTAAAAAGTAACAGGAAATGTTGTGCCACGTCGCAGCAAAGTGCATTGAGGGAACAGCACAAAGTGTATTATCCCACACGTCTTCGTTTTGGGGCGGAATGTAAACCCTTTCACCCAAAACCCTGGCACTGGCCTTAACTGAAATAGCATGGCTTTCGCAAGACCATATTTTACATACCGTCACTGATTATCTATCACGTCTTGCGGTTAGCAGACACGTCCATTAGAGCGCTTACCTGTTATAACCTCCCGTTTGCCTTCATCCAGGTGAGTTGAGATCAAATCTCCCATCGCGCCGCTGATATATGGCAAATTCGTCTGGATCGAAGAACTTAATTCGCCTCAGAGGAGCAGCTGTGCAGTAGCAGCAGTTGGGCGCTGGTTTCTTATGATAAGATATAAACTGGAGTTGATTCGAGCGGCTCCTCCCTTTTTACTCGAGTAGTTTGAACAGTAAGAGGTGGTTGGAGTTGCATATAGAGTTGACAGGCACCGTGCTGGATTCCTGAAGGCTCAGTTTTCCTAAACTCTTGATCTATGGCTTCTTTAGTCCCGCTGAGTGTGCTCGGTTTCAGCGTCAAAACGCACTTGTCTTTGGGAGACACATGAGCGTGCTGAAGGCGGGGTTATATAAATCTGGACTCTATAGCCTACTTCACGATTTTTTTTTTTTTTTTAGAGCAAAGTGAACGAATCGTTCCTATCAACGTCTATGCACTCGCTGGTAAAAAAAATGTGTTCACTTTTGGAAGCGCGTGCTTTCAAAGACTGAGCAAACACCAGACTATATAAAAAAAGGCAAACACACGCCCCGCCACTGATGATATTTCGCCAGTCAACGAACTGAATAAACGTGGAATCTCGTCATGAATGTGTACAAATAACACATTCATGACACAAAACAATTAAATGTATAATGATGACTGATTTTTTTAATTATTAAGTTTATTGTTGTTGTTGTTGTCTTTTCAATAGCTTAACTGAAGTCAAGCATAACGAAACGGAGGTGAAAATAGCCTATTGATCAGATTCAAAATAGTCTAGAATTTCTTTAACTGTCTGTCTGCCTAGAATCGAATCTCTGGATGATCCATAAAGAGCTCTAATGCATAGGCCTACGTGTCGACATAATAGACAGGACATTGGACATAACAAAAATAAAATCTAAAAAACATATGTAAGGCATTACAAATGTGTGCAATGTGCAATTACTGTAAATAAAGCATCCAATAGGCTATTTAACTCATTGCCAACTCTCACGCATTGAGCGTGATTCACGCAATTTACACTTTTCCTCACGCAGAGAAACATCGCAAAGCAAAGAGGACACTGACACCGACAAACAAGACAGAGCAGGTTACTTTTGATATAAAACAAATTATCAGCTCAGAGATTCTGTCAATTTTACTACGAAATTCAACCGTTTTGGCGCTTGTAAATGTGACGTGATTCACTGTAGCGCCTCAAGCGGCACGTGAACCGATCATCAGTAAATAACCCCGAATGAACAATAGTTGAGATATAGGCTACAAATGTATATGCCTCGGATCAATCAGTGTTTTTCAACCGCGGTAAAACAGCTGGAGAACAATGTCACATAAGGTTACATTTACCCCAGAAAAGCCATTTATGACCATATAGGCCAGAAAAATTAGCTAGAGTGTTTGGCTAAATATGTCCACTATATTAGGCTACATAGTATAGTTTTACTTATATCATTAAAATATTATAAAGTTGTTATTATAATAAAAAACGCATATTTCATTTGAGTTGTTATTTTTAACCTTTAATAATACAGCTGACAGGGATCTCTGTGTTTACGGCATTAGTGAGATATTTTTTTCTTGAAAAAAATGAACATATACCTAATAATTATGCAAAATGAATCGATATTGAATCAAGATGTTAAGCAATAATAAGAAACAGTAGTCATTGTACCAGCTAAACATTGTAACATGTTGTCACTTAATATAATTCTGTTTACAAATGTTTTGACAATCACAACTTATTGTGATGCAAGGTTTTTTTTTCACATACCCCCCTCCCTCCACAATTCGCACTCCAAGCTAAACTCAAAAGTTGGCAGCCCTAAAATACAACTATTATTAACCCATGTTTTACTGATAGAAGAAAGATAAAAGCAAAACCCCTATTCTGTTCCTTTCATATATAATAGGCTGTCGTGTTGTAGAGAGTTTTAAAGACATTTTCATTAAAATTGTTTAAATGAGTGAAGCATCTCTGAAACAGCCACTTGTGTTATATTAGGTGGAATAAAACAATACGATGTCGCCCTCTAGTGGATAGTGGTATTTTTTCTGTAAACAGTTCCTTTAGTTCTTAGCCCGACTAAATACATTGTAAATTCATTCTCGTGCACATTATTCATGTTAATATTTCATGACGTTAAATTCAAACATCTTGCTTTCATATTGATTCATATAACTGTATTCAATACCCCAAACCATTAATCGCTCGAAGCTCACAAAAACAGTCAGGGCTTCGTCAAAACATGATAGAAGCTGCTGGAAGGCTAAGCTTAATATGCATGCACACATGCACATGTCAATAGAGAAGCTGCGGAGGCGTGTAGTGGGATTAGGCATCGACGCAAGCACCACATCCCATTTACCCCAACTGTAGATCTGAGCGCGCACTCCGAGTCCACAGTCTCCAGTCTCCAGACTCCAGTCCAGCAGGCAGAGGATAGCAGGAGGCACGATGACATCTCTGGGACTCAAGGCGATTGTCGGAGAAAGTAAGAAATGTTTTGCTGAAGTTGTTTTAGGGCAAAAATCACTGACGTTTTTGAATGTAGGCTAATATTTCAGATATTTCTAATTTGTGGAATTATTGACATTTCCATATTTGTGTGTGTTGAAATGCTTTATTATTAAGTATTACAATAGGCTATTCACTAACAATCTAAGCCTCTTACAATAACACTGCTCTTCTTAAATCCTTATTCTTTCAAATTAACACGTGCTTTTATATTCTATTCTATTCTAAGATTATATTAATCAGTGTCATTTTTTTTGCACTATGCAAAGGAATGATTGTAATGTTGCTAAAAACACACAAGCATTGGAGATACACACTAATCTGTGTAGTCCTGTGGGATTAAGGATCTAGAGGGGCGGTTTGCGTGGAAGCACAAAGAGTGGGAAAAATAGGCCTGAATACAAACAATACAGACAGGCAATTGTTCTTTGAAAAGCTATTAAACATGGCTTTGATGTTAGATGTTAATGGCTGAATTTGTTAATGGTAAAAGGTGTTGTACTATTTTTATTATTATCTGTCATTTATTGAGCTATTAAGTCTTATTTGAGCATTATCTATCTATCTATCTATCTATCTATCTATCTATCTATCTATCTATCTATCTATCTATCTATCTATCTATCTATCTATCTATCTATCTATCTATCTATCTATCTATCTATCTATCTATCTATCTATCCTGAATGCAACTCCTTTGTGATTCCTTATATTATCGACCTGTTGTTTTATCTGTAGGCTCAGTGGATGTTCGGTTTCCCTTACTCCGTCTCTTAAAGCTACTTTCTGAAATGCCAGTGTCAAAAATGTACTTTTTCCCAGCCCTGGTTAATTTCTGGTCCTAAATGCAACCATGATGATTAATGAGATTTTCAGGTGTTCATAATTCACTCTGATTCTTTTTTTTTTAATCCCCCTGCTTCACTTCTTGCCATCTGCCTGTGTCATTCATTTATGTTGTTTCTGCTGCCATATACAGTGCTGGTGTTGATTAAATCTTAGAGATTCTGAGAAAAACATCACCAATTATCAGGTGTGAGTCTTTTGTTACTTTGGCAAATGTGAAGATCAAGCAATACATGACTGAAGCAGTTTATCAGAAATTCTGCTGGAGGGTGTTTTCTAGTCATGTTTTCGGACATATTGGTTTGAACTATCAATATCTGATTCTTATTCATCTATCAGTAGGTTAAGTATTCGATCCGTACCTAAAGCTTTCAATCAGGTTCCCACCCTTTAAATATTAATCACACATCTCACCAGCAACGTTTTTTATAGACGGTTATTTTGTCAGACTGGATGTTGATTTGTTGTTCGACAATTTCAGTAATAGGCTGTGAGATTCATCACAAGTTTATTTAAATGCAACAACACCTCTGGGTGTCAGAACTGACAGATCCAGCGTCAATAGCTGTGAAATGTGTTATATGACTGCAGGAAGCTGTTGCGTTTGGGATCTTGCTATTCAATGGAGATTTTAAGGGGGGCAGTAAAAATGATTAAGGTCCACTGTGCTCACATCCAGTGGAAGAGATGCAAAGAGTGACTGAGTGAGAAAAAAAAAAAGAGTGGCAAAGAGAAAGAGACACAGAGGAAAAACAAAAATAGAGAGGATGGTGCCGTAAGAGGATTGGGAAGAGATTAGGCCTGTGATTGCTGGGTCTCTCTCACCACTGAATATATAGCATTTAAACTAACAAATAAAGTTGATCATTTCCTTTTCTGCTGTCATAAAAGACATGGATAGATTTGATTTTTTTTTTTTTTTATCATTTCATACAACTTTTTTAAAATCCAAGAAGCTATTTAATTTGGGCAATAAAACACTAAATATAACACTAAATATGGGAAAGTAGTCATGAAAATAATTAAATAAATAAGACAATACGCTATTGATAAATAGAAATGAACGAATATGTGTCACGCATTTGAAGCAAGAGGTGAAAAGCGCTGGATCCAAATGCAGGCAGTTGATTTTATTTACAAAACTCAAAAGGTAACAAAAACTCTGGCAAACCATGAACAGAACAACCAGTACACAAACAAGATCAGACAATGAACAGAATAAAACACAGGGTTTATATACAAAAACAAACAAATCAAAGAAACGAGACTCAAAAGTGATACAACTCAATCAATCAATGAAAACCCATGGTAACAAGCTAAACAACCCAGACAAAGGAATCTGATCTAAAAAGGAACTAAATGTCAAAATCAAACCAGAACAAACAAGAAATAGCCCTTACAATATAACATCACACACACACACACACACACACACACACACACACACACACACACACACACACACACAGTTAACACTTCCCATTAGTTAATCTAGTCAATGCATTAACTAACTTTACTAACAATGAGCAAAAAATTTGTAACAGTATTTATTAATCTTTGTTAATATTAGTTAATAAAAATACAACTGTTCATTGTTAAGTTCATGTTAGTGCAGGTCCATTAAATATTATTAACAGTTATAGTACATAAATGTACTAAATGTTGAAATTAAAATTAACTTTATAATAATTTGGGGGTATCCTTATTCTTCACAAAGGTGATGCTAAACCTTAATATGAATGTACCGTTATAAAATATAATATAAATTCAGCCCAGAGCCGTGTTTTTTAGACTCTGGTGCTGTTTAACTGTAAAGACGAAAGAAGATTTAGACTTAGGAACACCTCTACCTGACACTTCTGGCAAACTGCAGTTAGTGGACTGTGTGTGTGTGTGTGTGTGTGTGTGTGTGTGTGTGTGTGTGTGTGTGTGTGTGACAACATCTGTTAAAGTCTATGATTATGCACTTTGGCACACACCTTTCAGATATATTTAGAGTATGACAGACATCATCACACACCTGTACCAACAACTATATTGCTTGCTCTTCTAGATTTTAAACGAGCATTTATGATCTGGAGTCTCAATCTGAACATATCTTTGTTTGGATCTCTGTCTCAGTCAATGGTATCACTATTTGAGATGAATTCATATATCTTGCAGCAGTGTACAGTTACTTTGGTAAGAACCTAAGCTAGAAATCTTGAGACTCTGTTTTACAGTCTTTATTTACAAGTTATTTGTTTAATGAAGCCTTTTCTGGTCCTTTTGTGATGCTGAAAGCAAACTTTTGGGAAGGTTCCTGTGATCTTGGCTTTGACTCAGATTTACATCATCTCTTGCAATTCTAAATGTATTTGCTATTCTCTTGTTCTTTGTCTATTCTGCTATCTCCATTTTGCAGAAATTAATTTGGTTTTTCTTTGTTTTTTGTCTTACAGAGATTATGAATGATGTCATTAAGAAGGTGAAGAAGAAGGGAGAGTGGAAGGTACACATGAATATCACCCTCATTTCTGCTGAAGAACATTTAACATTGTGAACAGTTAAACATTATGAAAAAGATTGATGCCCATTTTTGTTGTCATATGCAGCATTTGTTTGTGAAGTCAAAAAAATCTTCATTTAGTCTGTGCAGCATAATAATACAAAAATAATCTTGAAATAAACTTCAATTAAATTAAATTAAAAGATGTCAAATTAGACCTTCTTCGCTTAAAAGACCATCCTAAACTAGAATTAAATTGGCACAACAGCATTCCATGTTGGCAACCAACATTCACAACACGCTATGTTACACAGCCTGGTTGTTTTAATGGTAAAAATGATTTCTTGCGTGATCACATGTTTGCTGTTCATAGATTATGTACAGTATGCTGTTCTCCCTCAGGTTTTGGTGGTGGACAAGCTCAGCATGAGAATGATCTCATCATGCTGTAAAATGACAGACATTATGTCTGAGGGAATCACAAGTGAGTTTTATTCCTGTAGAACAAATTCACATTGCAGTATATACCAATTTGGCTCAAATGTACTTTCTTCCACAACCTTTTGTTTTTTTTCTCCAGTTGTTGAGGACATAACCAAGCGCCGTGAGCCTCTTCCTACCATGGAAGCCATATACCTCATCACTCCATCTGATGAGGTAACCAGTTGTCTCATTCATTCTTATATTAAAACGGATAAATTAAACCTTATACAGGAGTTTATCATATTCCAATATTCACAATTTTCTTAACCTCCACAGCTGTTTTCAACTTTAATAATAATAATACATGTTTCTTGAGTACCAAATCAGCATTTTAGAATGATTTCTGAAGGATCATGTGACACTGAATACTGGAATAATGAGTCCTGAAAATTCAGCTTTGCCATCACAGGAATAAATTATATTTTAAAATATATTAAAATAGAAAACTTTTTTTTTATTGTAATAAAATTTCACAATATTACAGTTTTTACAGCCTTGTTGAACATAAAAGACTTCTTTCAAAAATATAAAAAAGTCTTACCCAAAACATTTGAACGGTAGTGCTGCATATAGGCTATTTTTAAAAATATATATATAAATAATATATATTTTATATCAAGGCAAGTCAAGTCACCTTTATTTATATAGCGCTTTTTACAATACAGATTGTTTCAAAGCAGCTTTACAGTCATAACAGGAGAATAATGCAAAAAAGTTTGTTTCTAGAAGAAAATAGTGTCATAGTCCAGCTTAAGTAAGTTCAGTGATGGTTAATTTTTATCGTAAAAAAGTTTAGTTAATTTATATATATATAGCCGCTCTGGAGAAAACTGTGATGTCATCGTCCAGCTCAGTTCAGTTCTCATATAATGGTGTCAATGCAGGCAGATCAATAATATCAATCAATAATATATATACTGTATTTGTATGTTTTCAACAGTCAGTTGAGGGACTCATCAATGACTTCAGAGATCCCCGTAATCCCATATACAGAGGGGCACACGTGTTCTTCTCAGACAGTGAGTGTTTTTTGGACTGCAGCAACTGTTTTCTACCACATCTACTAGATATTTATCTAGAATATGTATCTCACTCAGTCTCTGTTTTTATTTTTGTATTATTCAGCAATCCCAGACACTATGTTCAACTTGATAAGTAAATCCCGTGCCTCTAAATCCATAAAGACACTGACTGAGATTAACATCGCCTTCCTGCCATATGAATCACAGGTGAGAGCCTTTACATGCGACCCTGGGACCTCCTAGGACCTGAGAGAGAACAGATGATGCTTAGGAGGAAGTATGGAGGTGTGGGGGAAGGGTGGTAAACTCGTGTATCATGCCAGAACATTCAAGAGCAGCTTTAGTCAGGCCGTCCCTGTGTCTCCAATCCTCTGTTGTTGCCCTTTATAATTAATCCTGACGAGTGGTTGAATCAGCCCTCCCTATCCCAACCCTAATCCGGCTCCCCATTGGCTAATGCCCCATCAACGAGTCACTGGGCAGCCAATGACAGAGAGCGTGGATTTGGAATTTGATTGGATGTCAGTGGGGTTAGGTTCATGTGACAGATGGGGCAGTATGTTGAGGCTAGTGTGAGAGATACAACGCTCATGTGGATTATAGGTCAATCTGAGAGAAAGGAAAGAGGATAGTGCACTTTTTATGTAGCTGTAGATTAGTCGGAATACCATGTTTCTGTTCAAACGTGCAGAGTGTACAGGACACAGCACATACATACAGGGAGAGGTGAGGCAGGTGACATGTCAATGAGTTACTGTTGTGAAAGAGGATTATGGGACAGTAACAGCCATATGCAATGTGTTACTTACTGGCAATATTAAAATGCATTCCTGCTTCACTTTTGGACAGACAGACAGCAGTGAGATGTAGGTTGCCATAGCACATAAAGTAGTCAGAAAAAGTGACATGTGGCACTTGATTAAATGGCAAGCGGGCACAATCCCTCAAAACTGCTGGAAACTGCCACTACTTTCTGTAATGCTTTCATACTTTTAATAATATCACATGGCTGACAACATCCTGTGAAGAGTTATTCATAAGGGCCATTTAATTTTTATGTATTTATTTATTCCGATTAATTTAATGCAGGTGTCTCCTCCAGGGGGTCGTGGCCCACTAGGGGGCCTTAGCACACTTCCAAGAGATATCTGTAAGATATCTTAAATATATTATTATTAATAATATTCATTTAATTATTTAAACCATTACAAAATAAGCATTCACACAAGCTAAAACAGCTAAAAACCACATTACCCCAACACTGTTAGCAAACATACTGTATATTTGTAACCATGTTTTTTTAGAGAAAGACCCTCCCTGCATCCGGATACTTCCCTTTTATATTGTATGCGGCAAACAGTATGTGAGATGAGTAGTATTTCTGAATTCATAGTATTCATAAAACAGTAGGTGGAAAGTACCAGGATGGCCTACTACTTATGGTGAGATCCTGAAGTGGGCATCTGATGAACACTTTACATCTAATTATTGGTTGTATCATATAGAACATACTTTTTAATAGCCATGAAGTAGGCCTAAGTTTCAAACCAATTGAGGCACCTACTAGACAGACAGAATTCGATGCAGCTCCTGAGTCCAGTTGCACCAATAACCACATTTGAATGCATTTGAATCACATTGAAGATCTGAGACATTATGAATAAAACTATAAATCTGTATGTTAGAGGCATTTATCTGTTGTTGGTATGTTGTCCTCAGGTGTTCTCAGTGGACAACTCAGATGCCTTCCAGGATTTCTACAGTCCGTTTAAAGCTGATGTAAAGAACCAGGTGTTGGAGCGTTTAGCTGAGCAAATAGCCACCCTGTGCTCCACACTGAAGGAGTACCCAGCTGTTAGATACAGAGGGTGAGAGAGGAAGAGGAAACACACACATAAACATCTCACTGTCAAGCTTACTTTCTCATAAACACTATCTGCTGCCACATATTTGTAATGTGACTCCAAACATTATTAGCCTTCTGCAAAGACAATAATAAACACAAGCAAACTGTTATTTAAAAAATTAGAAAGTGTCCATTTTTTTTGTTTTTGATGTAGGATAAATTATAAATTGCTAGAAAAGGCAAGTAACACATTGAAATGAAACTTGAATTTTTGAAGTAGAAAGACTGAAATAGTATTTTCTTGTAAAACATACTTAAATAATCTTTTTCATTTACAACTTTGAAAAACAATTTACAATGCACAGTGAGCGTTAATGGCCAGTAGCCGTCGTCATCAGGTAGCATCATGATTGAGTATATGTTGCTGTGTTTTCAGAGAGTACAAAGACAATGCAGTTCTGGCCCAGATGCTTCAGGATAAACTGGACGGTTTCAAAGCAGATGACCCCACTTTGGGAGACGTGAGTCTGATAGCTTGTTGCACAATATTTTGTCTCGAATTATAAAAAATAAACTGCTTCTGTTTCGCACCAGTGACCTTAATTTCTCACTGTCCAACTTTAATCATTTGCCTTACTGTTTTGTGCTCTATATTTATCTTTTTCTTTTCCCCCCTCTATTTCACAGGGACCTGATAAAGCACGTTCCCAGCTATTGATTCTGGATCGAGGTTTTGACCCAGTCTCACCAATTCTACACGAGCTCACATTTCAGGCCATGGCTTATGACCTGCTGCCCGTTGAGAATGATGTCTACAAGTAATAACTCATCTCCAGCAGTTTGTAAATGATCTATATACTACTCTAAGGTCGCTCAGATCATTTAAACTGACCCTCGGTCAAGTTCAAGAGTTTCACCTTTGATGATGTTAATAACTCCTTTCATCTTCACACTGTACATGTGTATGGTAGACAGTTACTGACGTCGATGGTGCATGTTTGTGTGTCTATCAGGTACGAGACCAGTGGAATGGGTGACACTCGTATGAAAGAGGTGCTGTTGGATGAAGATGATGACCTGTGGATGACTCTGAGACATAAACACATAGCAGAGGTGTCAACGTAAGTCTAATATTCTGATTTGCTGCTCAATTTTTTTAAATATATTATTATCAATGTTGAAAACTAATAGAAATCATTTGTAACATTATCCCCCAGTTTCACAGACAAGGTTTCACAGTTTTCTAAGGCACGTTTATAAAAGCAACGTAAATGCCCTAATTAAACTAAGCCCTGTCAGTGAAACTGGGCCTATGAAAGTCTTTACTGTTACTTTAGATCAGTGTTTCCCAACCCTGTTCCTGGAGGCACACCAACACTACACATTTTCCAACTCTTCCTAATCGATCACACCTGAATCAACTCATCAGCTCGTTAGTAGAGACTCCAAGACCAGAAATATATGGGTCAGAAAAGGGAGACATCCAAAATGTGCACTGTTGGTGTGCCTCAAGGAGCAGGGTTGGGAAACACTGCTTTAGATCAATTGAATGCAAAAAGAAATCGTACTAACCCTAAATTATATATATTCCAAACTTAAAGGTGCAAAACGCAACTCTCTGAGTTTTTGCAGAACTACGCCCCCTCTGGCGATAAGCGAAACTGCAACCAGAGTTGTGCACGCTCATGGACCACACGCATCTTTTATTGGATATATTGGATGTTTTATGTTTCATGTTGTACTATTCTTCCGAACACAATTCCTAGTTTATGAAACTGTTCACTAACAATGGTAGTAAAACCAATTCTGATTGTACATGTATCTAGCTTACGCTAAAGCATTACACATTTTACGCATCGTATCAAACATTAGAGACTGTGCTATATCTTACCGTTTTATCAAGAAAAAAGCCAACTGAGGATCCCGTTTGAGACCAAGAGCAGACCGGAGATCTCTCCATTTGTTGAATGCCTTCCCGAGGTTGACTCTCGTCTTACTCCGACGCCTGTCTGACTCCAATTTGGACCTTTTGGTGGCACTAGACAAATTTTTTCTTTTCTTTACTTTACGTGGAGTTTGCGTTGGGGTTTGGAATGGACTACAAGCCGTTCTCTTTGAATCCATCTTCTACCTTTGACACACGAGTTGTCTTCGCTGATGCGGAGAATGGCGGCGCCGGCGAATACACAAAGCTGCGAGACATAGCCTGGTGAGCGTGAACGCGCATGACGTCACGCCCAGTCTCAAATTCGAGCCCAAATCCCTCTTATATATTTTACTGTACAGGATTATAGAGGCAATCTCAGTGCGCAGAGAAGGGCTCATTCAGCCTATCAGGCAGTTCTTTAAGCATGTATAGGATAGAAAAACAGGTATTTTTAACATGAAAAGTTGAAAATTTTGCCAATAAACCTGATTTGCAATGGGGGTTGAATAATTTCAATTACAACTGTGTGTGTGTGTGTATATATATATATATATATATATATATATATATAAAACTAGGTTGATTTTCAAAGGAAGAAAATAATTATGAACCAATCAGAATTACAGTAAATGAAAATAAAATTTAGTCACATTTTCAAAACTGTTTTGCCTAACTATAAAATACATTTGTTTATCTGTTTCTCTCTATTAGGGCTGTGACTAAATCACTTAAGGACTTCTCTGCAAGCAAAAAGATGAACACAGGAGAGAAGGTGTGGTATTGATCAGTGATCAAACCTTAACTGCAGTTTCTTGATTATTGCCAATACCTATAACAATAACTAACAAGCTATTTTTCCCTCTTACAGACCACCATGAAAGAGCTCTCCCAAATGCTTAAAAAAATGCCACAGTACCAGAAAGAGTTAAGCAAGGTACCGTACTGCAATAATTTACACCTTTTATAGGAACTGAATCAATAGGAGAATCAAGCCAATATTGCTCATCTTTCTTATGGTGGCTGTGTAATCTTGCAGTATTCAACTCACCTGCACTTAGCAGAAGACTGTATGAAGCATTACCAGGGCTCAGTGGACAAACTGTGCCGTGTTGAGCAGGTAACGCTTTTCTTTGATCGATCTGTCGGCTTAATTCGACATATTAATGAATGTTAATAGTGCTTATGTGCTTTGTCCTAGGATCTAGCTTTGGGCACAGATGCGGAGGGTGAGAAGATCAAAGACCCCATGAGAGCCATCGTACCCATCCTACTGGATGCCAACGTCACCATCACGGACAAAATCCGTATCATCCTGCTCTACATCTTCCTCAAGAACGGTGAGGGAACCTAAAATTGGCCAATGTTTTGGATTCTCTCTCTGTTTTGTTTTGTTGTGTGTGGGTGAGATGGGGGTGGTACGTTTGACATGTACAGTTTGTACACATAGTCATTACTAATATCACACAACAGTGAGCAAAACTGTTATAATGCTGGGCTTCACGGATCTAGAACCAGTTCAAACTGTATAATTGTGTGTTTAATTATTCCTGACTGACTATGTGTGTGTCTCATAGGTGTGTCAGAGGAGAATCTGTGTAAGCTCCTCCAGCATGCTCAGATTCCTCCAGAGGACAGTGACATCATCTCTAATATGGCCCATATGGGGATTCCCATCATTTCAGAGGTCAGCTGATCAACACTGTTCTTTATTCATATGAAGCATGTTCCCCTCCTTTCTCTCACCATATTCACAGAATAGACAGACACCATGGGTGCAGCATTAAAGCGGTGTTCAGCCTAACACTAAAGGAACACAAAATAGTTTTTTTTTTAAGAATATCTAAGTGTTTTTCCCCCCCATACAATTGAAAAATGAAGGTGATTTATACTGATAAGCTCCAAAATGTATGACACTATTCACTGAAAAATCACTCCCTCTGCCATATAGTTTCTATTTTTATTTTTCAATTTATTTTTTGGATGGCAAAGCTGAATTTTCAGAATCATTACTTCAGTGTCACATCACATGATCCTTCAGAAATCATTTTAATATGCTGATGGTGCTCAAGAAACATTTCTTATTATTATTAATGTTGAAAACAGTTGTGCTGCTTAATGTTTTTTTCTTTGATGAATAGAAAAGCATTTATTTGGAATAGAAATCATTTGTAACCTTATAAATGTCTTAACTGTCACTTTTAATTAATTTAATGCAACCTTGCTGAATAAAAATATTAATTTGGTCAAAAAAAGGAAAATAATACAGACCCTTAAAACTTTTAGTATTGCACATTTAATTGTGGACACTCATTTCCACCTATGTTTCCATTCATATAACACTTTGTACTCTCTTAATCTTTAATAACACTAGTAATTTAATTACACTGTTTAATGTACAGCAAACAACCACACGCAAAGGGAAGAAATCTGACCGCAAGGAAAGAATCAGTGAGCAAACGTACCAGCTCTCCCGATGGACTCCGCAGGTTAAAGACATCATGGAGGTGAGCTAATCCAACAGTACTTGCCTCACTTTGGATATGTCAACATTCTTTTAATTTAATTTCTCCTAATTACATTATGATAGGATGCCATTGAAGACAAACTTGACCCAAAACAGTATCCTTACATCTCCACACGCACAGCATCCTCAAAAACAGCATCCACAGCTTCTAGGTAAGATTAGCTGCACAAACATATGGATTCATATGCAACATCTTCTTATTAAAATCTACTAAAATATCCAGTGATAATACTACTATTGTACATTTTCAGTGCCCGTTATGGGAACTGGCATAAGAACAAGAGCCCAGGAGAGATACGCAACGGCCCACGCATCATCGTCTTCATCGTTGGGGGTCTGACCTACAGCGAAATGCGCTGCGTCTATGAGGTCACACAGGCCAACGGCAAATGGGAAGCTCTTATCGGTGGGTTGCAGTGCTAAAGGGTCCTTTCACACCTCAAAACCGCCAATGACTCACCATTTCAGAGACAACGATTAGAGCAGACAGCATTACACAGTTCTCCTCTTCTTTTTATGGCTGTGTGATTGTGACTTGTAATTCCAGGCGATATATTAACTTAATAGACTTCTATCAGTCAAAAGTTTGGGGTCAGTAAGTTTTTTCAAGAAAATAATACTTCTATTATTTAGCAAGGATGCATTAAATTGATTAAACATGACATTAAAGGCTTTTACATTTTTATAAAGATTCTATTTCAAATAATTGCTATTCTTTTGGATTTTTTATTCATAAAAGAACCCAGAAAAAAAAAACATGTATCATGGTTTCCACAAAATCAGCATATTAGACTGATTTCTGAGGGATCATGTGACACTGAAAACTGGAGAAATGACTGCTGAAAATTCAGCTTTGCCATCACAGGAATAAATAACAATATTACTGTTTTTACTGTATTTTTTCAATAAATGCTGCCTTGGTGAGCATTAGAAAAAAAAATTGAAAAACTGAAGTCCATATCTTTTGCTGACCTTAAAGGTGCAGTGCGCACCTCTCTGAGTTTTTGCAGAACTATGCCCCCCTCTGGCGACAAGCGAAACTGCCTTACTGTCTTTGTCTTGCGTGGAGTTTGCGTTGGGGTTTATGAACTACAAGCCGGTCTCTTTGAATCCATCTTCTACTTTTGTCGAAAGTTGACTGAAGTTTTGTCGCTCGAGTTGTCTTCGCTAATACGGCGAATGGCGGCGAATACACAAACTGCCAGACATAGCCAGGGAAGCGTGAACGCGCATGACGTCACGCCCAGTCTAACGTTCCGGCCCGAATCCCTCTTATTTATTTTACTGTACAGGATTATAGAGGCAATCGCAGTGATCAGAGAAGGGCTCATTCAGCCCATCAGGCAATTGTTTAAGCAAGTATGAATCTGTTAGAAAAACGGGTATTTTTAACATGAAATGTTGCGCAATGCACCTTTAAATATGAATTATTGAGCACTGAAAGCATTCTGCTGTGGGATACATGGGTTATGCCTTGAAATCAATATACAGTGCAGTGAGTGACAGAAAAGATCAATGTTTACTGATCACTGTCATCTGTGATGATTAGTAAACTGCATTTAACCACCCCCACAATGTGAGTTAATGGTGGCAGTTTAATGAGTCAGTCTTTTTTTTTTTTTTTTTTTTTCACAATAAAAGCCCTGATCATGTTTATGACCTCTCACACAGGCTCCACCCACATCATCACTCCCATTAAATACCTAAAGCATCTGCAGCACCCAGACTTCCTGGACCCCAACGTGGCCCCTGAGGACCAGATTCCCGCAGAAGATTAGTGATGAAGACAAGAAACAAGGTCAGATCTTTTACTATCTATTAAAAATAACTGTTGACATCTTAAACATTGCATTTAACACTTTTAATTGTGAAGATATCTTTTCATTCACCGCAACAACTCGTTTTCTCTTTCTCTCCTTTTAGAATGTGATGACATCATCACCCTCCCTCACTATTCTGACATCCTCAGTGACATGATCCGACAAAAAACGGAATCTTCCTTGACTCACACACATATACATTGTTTCTACACTTCGGCTAATTTCAGGCAGTCTGTCTTGTCAGCAATAGGCTACAGTGAAGTATATTATTACATACTGTAAGTAGCCTCTGTACCATTCATAATCACCTAAATATGAGCCAAAGTATCAAAGTTTGTTAAATTACTGAAATATACTGTATAAAGGGAACATGCACAGTCAGTCTGTCATTATCAACAAACAATTTAGGTGTTATTATGCATTGTTGGTAACATGGGACCAGTCGACTAAAACAAAAATGATAGATTATTTAAATACTCTCAATGTTCAGCAACACAAATTGAGTTTGAGAAGTAGTTTGGCCTGCTATGCAGTGGTCTGGTGTGTCTGCCAAGCATGATTGTGTCTGTTGTGTAATGATCATGTTAATATTGGATGTCCCATTGTAATTATATCAAACGCTTTGTGTTGTTTTAATCTTGTGGTTAGGAAATTATAGTTACTAGTTTTATATATCGAGTTTGTTCATATAGTAAAGCCTCCCTCTCTGATATTTTGTTCTTTTATATATATCGAGTTTGTTCATATAGTAAAGCCTCCCTCTCTTATATTCTGTTGTTTTAGACATTGTTTTACATCTTCAGTAAGCACAAAATGACTGTTCCTTGTGTAGTAATGTAGTATGATTGCTTTTTATGTTGTAATCCGTTATTTATTTACACTAAGATTACAAATTTATGCAGTGTAAATAATACAATGTGTATCCCATATTTAAATATATTTAAAATGTTTAACACATCAGAGGTTATGAAGTGCAAAACACTGTCTTGTGCATATAATAAAATAAACTGGCTTCTATTAAACATTTGATTATCATATTTGAGAGTTTTTATGCCATGCAATCACACATTAGAGTATTTCTCATAATATTATTGAAAATATACATTAGTTAAATTATAATATTGATATCATCAATCATTGCTGTTGGTGAACCTTCAATGCCAAACAAAATATATAAGTTAATAAGACAGTTTCAAACTTAAATGTTACGTTTCCTAAAAAAAAGGGTACATTTAAAATATATAAATAATTAAAATGATATGCAAGACTTTAATGGTGTCAAATTAATTGCAAAAAGTTCAATTAATTAAATCAATGAAAAATATAAGCAGTTAATATTCTGTAGTATTGCATTGCAGTTACTTCAAAACAGTTCCTTAAGTTGAACACACGAGGGCACCAAAACACAACTTCACCAGAGAAGAGAGTCAAATGAACAGACATCAACACTTTTTAGGTGGACAAGTAATAACAACATGATTTAACCAAGTAATGAAAATATGAATAAACTAGAAATATAATTCAGTCTTTAAATATTTATTTAAGTCTCTTTTCCAGTTTGGCATAAATGATAAATATTTCAGGCATAATATTGATACCCTCGGACCGTGTACTGTCTCTATAAGGTATTGCTCTGTAATCAGCCTACGATATTACAGTTCCTGTAAAGTTACAATATTATTTTTTTCACATTGCAAAGTACAACAAATGACAAGCAACAAACAAACAAAAAGAAGATCTTTATAAACTTAAAGACAGACTATCTGCATAACGGTGGTGTGTGAATGTCTGAAGGAAAGACAACATCCTTTGGGGTTGAAAAACCTATATGCTTATATGTATATACTACATGATGTTTTGGTTTCATACTTGAGGGTTTTATGTTTTTGATGTAGTCATTGAAAACATTATATCAACAGTATGTGCAAAAAATATATATTACATAAATAAAATATATACAGCTTTACATTATTTTACCTATGTACAATAACTCTCTGTATGTTGCATAATCAGGAGCCATGCATTTACATATAATTGAAACACTGAACATCTGATCTCTTCAAAAAATATTGCTATACACATCTTGATTATACCTCTCTATAACCCATCTCTGAAGTAAGCACACTGACATAAGAGAGGACTAAAGAAATCGGTGTGTGTGTGCGTGTGTGTGTGTGTGTGTGTGTGTGTGTGTGTGTGTGTGTGTGTGTGTGTGTGTGTGTGTGTGTGTGTGTGTGTGTGTGAGAGAGAGTGAAAGAGAGAGAGAGAGAGAGACAGGGAAAGAAAAAGGGAAAAAAAGCTAAAGAGAAAACAATGAGATAAATCCTCCTCCTCGCTCACTCTGTCTTTCCAGGAATAATTCTGATCCTCCAGTCAGATATGATAGTTGTAGTATATTAATATCACTCCGTAGTGTATGTCATTCCGCTTCAGTACTTCACTACTAAATTCAGGTCCTCTCATAATAAAATATACGAAAAACCTTCAGAATCAAGAAAGAGTAACAAAGCACCTCCAAAACAATGACTATGCCAATTTATAATATTATCAAAGTAATACATAATCTTCTTTTGAAAGAAAACCCATTTTTTATTATAAAGGAGGGCTGTGTGTATATATATATATATATATATATATACACACACACACACACACACACATGTATAAGAAAACTTAATTATTTAATAGCAATTATGATAGTATTATCAACAATACATATGAATTGGAATTGATGAATGACTTTGATGATACACACAATTCTATTCAAAAGTTTGGGGTCAGAATTTATTATTTTTTTATTTAAACTTTTATTTTCACAAATATTAAGCAGCACAACATTTTTCAACATCGTTTATAATAAGAAATGTTTCTTGAGCACCAAATCAACATATTATAATGATTTCTGAAGGATCATGTGACACTGAAGACTGGAGTAATGATGCTGAAAATTCAGACTGATCAGAGGAATAAATTAATTAAAGGAATAAATTACAGGAATAAATAAATGTGATTTTAAAATAATATTAAAATATAAAAGTTATTTTAAATTGTAATATTTTTTCACAATATTACGTTTTTTACAATAAATGCATCCTTGGTGAGCATTAGAGACTTCTTTAAAAAACATCAACAAATCTTACCGACCCCAAACTTTAACGGTAGTGTGTGTGTGTATAAACTTCATTGAACAGACCACAAGGTGGCACAGATTTGACAGACTTGACATAACCCTGATTTTGTCCTGTCAAACATTTCACCAGATCATCCACTGGAACATACCTTGTTAATACAGTAAATGTGTGATGGCTGGTCGCTGTTGTAGCGAGAACACAGACGTAAGGCGGGTGTGTCGAAGCTTTTGAACTCTAAGCTAATTGTGACTCAGATATGACAAGCATGACTCATTCGGCCCCTCTGTGCGGATGTGACGTAAAGTGCCAGGTCTTTGCAGTGCCGTCGAGTGAAACTCTCAAAGGGACGACTTCTACAGAGCAGAGTTGAAATCGGCAATCAAAAAGTCGACATGGTCTTTGTCTTTGGTCTTAAAAGCCTCCGCAATGACTCGAGTCGCATCCCGGTGCTCCATTCCTTTAAGTGACACGCCATTCACCTCAAGAATCACCTGACCCACCCGTAACTGCCCACAGATATGCACAGAGCCCCCCTTCTGGAAGACAGAAAGAGAAAGAAAAAGAGAGAGAAATAAGCAAAGAAAGTCTCAAACTTTATGAAAGAGAGAGACCATCTATCAAAAGTGCGAGAGAAAAGACAAGTGGGAAATGGGGGAGAAAATGAGCGCTTGTTCTCTCCGATATGGCACTTTATATTGAGAGGTCATTAGCTGACCTCCTGTCAGTCATAAAGATAAAGTGCCCGAGGACAGGTAGAAAGAGATAACCAAGATGAGCGTTCTGGTTGTCATCTTTTGTTCAGCTGTAGGGAGGCCGGTCTGATCGCAGTCTAATAGCCCTGCTACATTCGGGCCAACAATCTCCAGTCCACAATCAGGCACTATAATGGTCACACCATGCAAGTGCTGCTACAGTCATATAATCCTTCTGGGATCTGATTTTTTTGTTTTACATTTATTATTACTACAATAACTCAACATGACACATGAGCTGTAAATGTCTGGTTAAAGATTGAATAGTGATTGCTTTCATAATGAACATTTGATAAGAATTAAAGTGGATCTTAAGGAGTCTGGAAGAGCGGTAGCCATGGTTACACCTGACATCGGCTCATTGTGCCATGTGTACTTTCAGGTTGGATTCAGTACATAACAGTGTCAGACATTGAGATCTCACTCTAACATGCTTTAAAAATGCTGCTTTGAAAAACCACAGTGAATAGAATTTATGCCTGTTTTGTCTTTGAAATATGATCAACAGCACTTTTTTCCCCCAAAACTCTGAATATGTCATGTCACATCGAGATATATTAGCATTACCCTGGTATAGGGTATCAATGGAAATCAAGGGCTAATCTATTGTCAGGATTCTGTCACCTCAGTCTGTTTTGAGCTGTCTTGTCGTTGTGAGTGTGCAGTTCTGAGTTCGCTCGGGTCGTACGCTCTTCTGTCCACGTGAGTTGTTTTGTGTGCGGAGCGTGATGTTTGTATCCTGGGACTTCGGTCTAGTTTGGTGTTGGTTCTGTGTCGAGGTTCGGACATTCATGCTCTGTGTGTTTATCTTCTGTTGTGAGTACACGGGATCAGCATTCGCTCTGTCTTGTTTTTTGAGAGTGCTTTCGAGTTTGCTCGGGCTGTACACTCTTCTATCCGCAAGTGTGTTGTGTTAGGTGTAGCGCGCAGTTCGTGTTGTCATGTTCTGTGTGGACACGCAGTCGGTGAGATTGTGTTCACTGGCCATGTGCTCTTGTTTTTGTTGTTTGGTGTGAGCACATGGCTTTTCATGTTTGTTTCTATGTGCCATGTGATCTCCTGTCTATTGTCTAACCCCTCCCATCTTGTTATCTGATTATTGGTTCATTTGCCCCACTTGTCCTCCTTGTGACCGGCTTTGTTTGCTCTCCCTAATTATTCTCCTTGTGTTTTCCTTCCTGTGCCAGTTCGTCATCTTATAAATACCGTTCGTGCCCTGCCCTGCCCTGCCCTGCCCTGCCCTGCCTTGCCTGATCCGGATACCATGTCCAGTCCTGCTTTGTCCAGATGCTGGTCTTGTTTTCCCCCATGGGATAGTTTTTATTTTATTTAATGAGTCCTCAACTCATTCCTTCACCCACCTATTTACTATTCATTAATTCAAAATCAAAGCTAAACCAAAAAATACTGTAAATTTGTCTTTCCTTTGAAGGTCAGCCATTTCAAGACAATAAAATCAGCAGAGGAATATTCTGATTGTATTAAACAGCACTTTTTTCTTCACAGTTGCTGGTAACACTTTATTTCGATAGTCTTTTTTTTTTTATATTCTACACGAGAAGTACATCAACTACCAGTGATTAGAGCAGGGGTTTTCAAACTGTGGGTCGCGACCCATTTGTGGGTCGCAGATTGGAAAGAGGTGGGTCGCGCAATCACTATATTGGCTGCAGCTGAATTTACGTTTCATGAGTGACACATACAAACAGGTTGCACGATGGAACCAACGGTAAAGGTAGGGTAGGTAGTTTTTGTCTAAAAACCTTTTTTCCAAATTTGTTTAAACTGTCTTTATATATCAATGCATAATTAAAATGTAAGTACTCTGAAAAAGAGATTACAAAAATCGAGTGTCTGTAGTCCTCTCAGGGCTGCAATAAACACAGCTCATTATTCCATTTACTCCCACCCCCTCCCGTCTGGGCTGCTTCCAAAGCCACGCCCCCAAAACACATGAACGCGCGATGCCGACCACGGCTCAGTCAGCTGGAGGGAGCGCAGAGCGGAGAGGAGCAGTGCATGTAGTGACATCATGTCAGAATCACAAGTAATAAAATAACTAACTTTATCATTATGAATATAAACAACTAACATGGCTGTTAGTACTCACTATCAAGCTAGCATATCAATACTGGTAAAGTTTAAAATATATTGAGTTTGATTCGGTAACGAGCTAGTAAAATAAGTCAAAGCTATAAATAGCTTCATTGATACACGTTTTCCGTTACCATCAGTTACACTGTGATGAAGGTGAATTTTGCGTAAGATTCATAACATACACGGTGTTTTGCATGTAAGAGCTTCCACGATGAAACCACTGTTGGCTCTGATGAGGACTACACTCCGGAGACAAGTACCGCATCGTCACCGGCTCAAGGACAGATGGGCGGCTCCTGAAGCAGCAGGGGTGGTAGCCATGGTAGCAAGGGAGAGTGACAGTCGCCCAGCCAATCATTTCATTCGTCCCTAATGGAATAATGAGCTGTGTTTATTGCAGCCCTGAGATGACTACAGACACTCGATTTTTATAATCTCTTTTTCAGAGTACTTACATTTTAATTATGCATTGATATATAAAGACAGTTTAAACAAATTTGGAAAAAAGTTTTTTAGACAAAAACTACCTACCCTTCCTTTAAATAGAAATCGCTATATTTCTTAGAGTGATTTAAAGTTAGATAAATATGTCAGTATTGTGTTTCATGAAGCGCGCGCGTGCGACTTGTTGTGATAACAATTTCCACCGTCTCAGAGCGGCTTCGGTTCACTAAGCAGCTTGGTGCGCATTATTAACGAGAAGAAAATCGTTTACTCCAATCACTGCACTGCATTCTGCATGAGATCGCATTACACCGGAGAATTCAAATGTCACGAAAGGCTGATTCAGGTCTGGGCTGCGTTTCCCAGAAGCATCGTGAGCTAAGTTGATTGTAGAGTCCATTGGTGGCAATGTTGGCTGTTGTCTTTCAGAGATATGGTCGTCGTAAGAGTGCGTTGTTTTGTGTTCCCTCGCATGCATTTTGATACCTACCAACGCATAAGGAAAATATATATGTAAAAAGTATTTAAAATGTATACACACGAGCACGAAAGCGTTTTCTGCGCTGAACAACGCAATGAGTTTAACAACACTAGCAGCATAAATATTAGTATTGAAATTCTAGGTCCAGGGCATACTGTCAAATAATTTTTTTTTTTTTTATATATTATGATTTTTTTGTCATATCAAACATTTGGTTAAGATTAAGCTTACTTAATCTTTTTCATTTCTTTAAATTTGTTTTGCCATGTTTGGGTAAATCAGTTGAGGCAGCAGACAAAAACTACTCAGTATTCTTCACATTATTTCAACAGCCATTATTTTAATTCTCAAACTTTTTGATAATGTACCATAAGTTTGTATTGCAATTAAACTTATATGTCATACTATGACAAGGAAAAAAAAACTGCTCTGAAGAGAACAAACGCCTCCCACCCCACATTCATTCTTTAAAATTATTTTGGTGGGTCTTGAGATGGATTATTCTTGTCTATGTGGGTCCTGGATTGGAAAAGTTTGGGAACCCCTGGATTAGAGTATTAGTAGAGTCTGCTTAATATCTGCAAACACTTTCCCCCAACAGACATTTTACTGACTACAAGCAACTTTTGCAAGTACATGGCAACTTATTCTACTCACCCTAAAGGCCCTGATATAATCGCTGTGAAGTTCTTTTTCGTTCTTCGTTTAGGGGTAAAACTAAGTTCGAAATAGGTTAGCAGCGATATACTGTTATCGAACACCTGACGCTGCCCACACAGTTGAGAGTGGTGTTTATATGAATATGTAAATATGTACTGTGCGCTTTCCTCTCAATAACAAAATAAACACACAACAAAACTAAGAAAACAGCAAGCGATTTAAAAAAGCATAATAAAGGCATCTGATCATAGCAAAGTGGTTATGTTTGCAAAAGCTCTATAGCACTCAAGTCACGTTTATTTATATATCACTTCATACAATACAAAGCTTAAAATCAAGCAGCTTTACCGTATTAAACATGAAAAACTGTGTCAGTGTCTTGTTTCATCAGAAGTACAATGTAATTTTCTACTATAAAGCATCTCTCCAGTGTGTTCATGTTTTCACTCGCGGATGCCTGACCTCGGCCGACTTTCCACGTGAAAGAAAGTCACCTACACCTACCTATTACGTAATCGCCACAGACCAATAATAGTACAAAGGGAGTTTATCAGCCGGAGTGAACCTTTCCGGAAAGTTCACTTTGTCAAGCTGTTTCGAACTCCCAAAAAGAACTCCCAAAAAAGAACTCCAAACGAACTTTGTTTCGGCCTGATTTTGTTCGAAATGACGTCAAATCAGTTGAAGTAAATCGGGGCCTTAACCCTAACTTAACAGTCTACCAATGCTCTAACAAGAGTTAGTTGACAAGTAGTTGCAAATTAATAAGAGTTAGATAACATGTAGTTGCAAAGTTACTTAGAGTTAGTAGAATGTATCAGTGGCGTAGGTTTGATTTTGAAATTGGTGGGGACGGGGACATCAATATTTAATATATTTAAAGTTTTGATCGAAAATATTGCTAGGGATATATCAGTGTCACTGAATATTGGTGGGGACACGTCCCTAGTGTCCCTACTAAATTCTACGCCCCTGGAATGTATACAGTTCACTCCAAAAGTATAACCCAGTTGCTGTTTCTGCCAGACTAGCCAACAAATTAGGTGTTGTAACAAATTTGTGACAGACAGTGTCTGATCGGCTAAAAAAAAAAAGTAGGCTGCTCCCCAAACTCTTAGGGCTGTCAAAAAAAAAAAAAAAAAAAAAACAGGTGTGATGTCTCAGGACATTTTCTGGAGAAGAAAAATATTCTGCACTTTTAATTATGGAACATCTCCAGATGGGTCTGTGACAGGCTGTGCTCTTCTGTGACCTTTCCAATGGTGAGATTTACACATGCTGGTTGTGTAAACTGACATTCTATGCAAATTTCAAGGATACTCCAGCAATCAACAAAGAATAATAATACAGCAACACCGCTACAGCACTTTGTCCTCATTTAGCAGTTTCGGACATCTCTATAAACGCTATTAGACACAAGTTATGTTAATTTCATCTTTTTTCATCCCCTAAAGCTATAGGAATATCACAACATGCCTGATCCCCATCAGGTTTAAATATGCAAGCCAACATATTTCTGTGCAAAGCCACTTTGCACTAAAGGGGAAATCTCTCACCTTCATGTCGAGTGAACACAGCACTGATAGAAGTAAGCACACAGACACATGCACATAAACGGGTCCTGAATATGCAAATGCACTATGTTAACTAACAGATGCTGGAATAAAGGTCATAAAAGAAATGAAGAAATGAGGAAAACAAACCGGCTCCTTTATATTTAAAACTTCCCATATAACATTATGACTAAAGACTAATCTAGCATCTTAACTGCTAAATGCACAGGGGTCTATCTAATAGGGAAATATTAACAGTGCCATGAGTCATTTCTAATATGAAAATTGGAGTTGTTTTGTCATGCCGAGCTATTTTAGTCATATGATGAATAAGCAGGTTTTACTGACCTAAGCATTCATGTGTATATGAAAGAAGAACTTTTAAAAGCTTTCTGAAAACACATTATATAAGTTACAACTGTATATTGCACCTTGATGGGTGTAATATCAGACCTTCACAGTACATTAGCTACCCTTTCCATTAGTGGAACAAAAGGTACTTTCTGGGAATAGTAATTCTAAGACTTTGTGATACTTTTATGTTAACATTTCATATTTGTTACAGCACACAATTTCTATGTGGCTGAGTTTAAACACTAGAATCTCTAATCAGCATACTTTATAGCTCTGCACCAAAACCTTAGCTTTCTAGGGTAGCTACAGTACATAGGACGTTTTTTTTTTTTTAAATGGAAGCTCATAAGTTACTGATCTGGACTGTTATAGGAAACAACTTCTGAAGTGCAAAGCAGATTAGACTCATACTTGATTTCAACAGAGTATCATGTTGCTAAGCTACAGAGTTGGGTAAATTACTCAAAAAAAGTAATCCACTACAAATTACCAATTACTACTTTAAAATTGTAATTTGATTACATTACTGATTACTGCATGTAAAAAGTAATCTGATTACTAATTACTTTACTTTCAAGTTACTTTGAAAACATATTAAAACTACACAAAAATACACTACAAAGTGAAACTCAGTTCTTTCCGTAATTTAATTGGGCGAGCTCTGTGGACCCATAGACTATTATGTCTATGTGTGGACCTCCCCCCCTTCTGCCCGCGAGTCGTCAGGGAAACGGGCCAGCCCGCTGTAGTGCCGCGCCGTTAAAGCGCCGTACTCAGCGGGTCCCCGAGCCTTCTCCAGCCCGTTAAAGCTCGCCGGTGCGCCTGCCAGCTTCACCAGCTTCACTCGAGTCGCTCACTGACGGACAACGGCCGCCGCGCGCCGCCGCTTCCGCCTTTAATGACGACGAGATAGCTGCATCTGTAGAGAAGGACCGCGGCTAGCTTTCTTTACGTTATAAGAAAGCTACCCCGCCCCCGCCCCCCGTAGACGTCTGCGTCCATTTTAGCAGCCGCGTTCTCCGGTAATTCATTAAAGCGCATGCTCATTAACTGACGCAGCCGCGCCAAACGTGATTAGAAATGTATTTTACTTAATATTTTTTCTTAACAATACATTTGTAACGTAAGTAGCTTAATTTTATTTACATTAGTAACTGTAATCAAATTACATACATTTTAAATGTAATGAGTTACATTACTGCGTTATCACGAAATGTAATTACACTACAGTAACGCGTTACTTTGTAACGTGTTATACCCAACTCTGCTAAGCTAACAATATTATATTATAATTACATAACATAACATTCATGCATTTGTAGTAAAACATTTCATTTTTAATTAGAATGAACTATTTTTAATTATACATTTTGATGTATGTACACTACCGTTCAAAAGATTTATATAATATTTTCAGTGATCTTGTGTGCTATGCATTCTGGGATGGCCTTCGCCACAAATGATACTGCCTTAGATTTAGGCAAAAAACAATATTTAACTATGCTTCCTTCCTTGTGGAAAAGCCATCATGTAATGATGCCACAAGATGTTAATTAGACAGCTCATTTAGGTTTGGAACACAGCTATTATTTTCAGCTTTCTAAGCTGTCATTTTGAACTTTAACCCGTTCTGACCCACCTGTATGGTCGCAATGCGTGGCAGAGGCTGTCTGGTGTTGGCACCCCCTTCAACAGCAATACCCAGTGTACTGGCACACTTGGGCACCCGTACAAACATAGGCTCCATTATTCCCATCTAAAACAATGAACAAAATGGATGCTACTTTAGACATCACACTCAAGAATACAAAAAAGACAGAGATTTCAAGGAATGAGGAGGAAGACAAGAGAGTCTAACATGAATGAAGAAAAATCAGAGATAAACCAAAACTCTCCTCAAACAGCAGCAGGACAAATGAGACTAAATCCCTACAATGAGACATTAAGACATATACGCATCTTTTTAACAGTTGCTTATATGATATATGATATCAACAACAGAACTTGTCGCTGCTCTTTAACCTGTTTTGCCGAGGCCTGGGCGAGTCCTTCTGCTCTGCGTGTGTCACATATGACCTGCAGGAAGGGAGGTTTGCCTGGTCGCGGGCTGCTGTCCTTACTCAACCCTCCAGCCTCTGCAATATCCACTCCACTGTCCTCGCTCAGAGTCTGTCCGCTGTCTGACAGCTGGGACAATGTGGCTCCTGGGAATATAGATAAATGAGCACACAAAGTCATAAATAACCACACAATTTAGCTTTCAGAGATTAGAGGTCTGCATTCAGAATTTATGTGAACCTCACACATTAGCTGAATCTGAAAAGAGTTATAGAGCTGGATGAATTCTCTAAGTGCTGAACTTCATCTAAGTTTAGATGTACCTACTATGGCTGTCAATTTTGCATGTTAAATTAGTGTGACTAATTATTTCAAATGAATGAGATGCCACCTGACCCCTATGTGCATTCTGTAATAAGGTATCCTGCCATTTGATAAATTAAAGCCTAGGTACCTTCTTGTATCTTTATATTGACATCTAAAGCCATTTTTTGAAATGTGTATTCAACAGGGCTGGGTATCGATAGAGTTCCCCTTCGTCAGCTCACTATGACGTGAGTCAGAAGTGATTCTGACGAATGGGGATCGCTTGCGAGAGCCTATCTACTTCGAGTGAAACTAAACAGGCCAATGCACATAATGATAATTGGCATGCGATAATTGCACCAGCTGCTGTGCATCGTGGCACAAGCATATAATGAACAGCAGGTGCCTCGCATCCTTGTCTTTCGCTTCGGAGCCAGGCAGTGAATACTGTTCCTGTCTCCTGCAAGATCTTCTGACGGTGATTTCGTCTCTGCGAGGAAGCCTCTGTGTTTGGTGTTGGTGTGACGGTGCGAACAGCGGTGGTTGCGATCTCTCCTGTCAACGGTTGTGAGCAAAAACAGCTGCTTTCACAGCTTTGTTGGTTCAGAGGGCGTGACATAAAGAGTGAGTGCTCACACAGGATTGCACTATTCCCCTGTGTGTAGCCACGGCTATCCCCCTGTGCGTTTCAGCACCTCAGAGCACTTCTGAAAGAGCTAACACGATCTGTCTGCGTCTTTTTCAAAATGTCATTCAGATCGTGTGTTTCTGGATGCAGCCAATGTTTCACTCCAGCTAATGGGCATGAACTCTGCTTGGGCTATAGGCACACTAAAATGGCGCTCATAGATGACTCATGTTCTCATTGCGGGAACATGACCATCGCAGCGTTACGGTCGAGACTCCGTCACCTCGAAAGAGGTGGAGCCCATTCGCTTATTCCCCGATCTAGCACTTCTTCTGCCCAGCAGCAGCCTCCACCCACGCAGCAGGTGGCCGGTCGCAAGAGGAGCACCCAGCCCGTCCAGGCCCCCGCTAAATCAGGTGGCAAGCGTAAGGGCAAGTGGCCCTGAGACGGGCAACCCAGCGATGGAGAAAGTTGCTCTTCGGGAGATAGTGTCCGCACCTCTCCCTCCCCCAGAGGAGTACTGGGTGGAGAATCCTTTGTTTCATATTGTTTCTGTTCCGGTACCCACATTTTCAATAAAAGAGCAATTTCTTCCATCTCTGGGTCACAAAAGGGTGCGGATTGCAGTGAGCAACGCTCCCATGCCTTGCCACTCCTTTCCCCCTCTTCCATCACCAGTGGGCAGCAGTGTATGGCTCGGGGACGCCACCAAGCCTTCCCACGCCTCACCCTGGAACTAGAGGTCTACACAGGCTTTAAACTTAACCCGCCCGTACCCGAAATCATTTCACCCGACCCGACTCGAACATTACGGTTATATTTTAAGCCCGAGCCCGACCCGAACCCGAGGTCCGTTTCTCACAGTAAATAGCTTCTTTTTTTTTTTGCAATATGCTGTATTTTATGATTGCTTGCCACGATAATTAAAAAAATAGGCTACATGTACAAACACCGTTTCACCAAGGCACAGCGCCCACCTCATCAGTCAGCACACAAGAAAAAAAAGAGAAAAAGCACGGACTTACTAATTACGAAACTTGATGTGGTTGAACAGATGAAACAGTCACAAATTCCCCTGGAACTCAAACATTAAACTTCAAAACAAAGTTTGCGCAGTTGCACAACTATTTACTTAAATATAGCCTATCCTTCTCAGTACGAGTTATGAAGGAAGAGAACAGCATCGACAGCTGATGGTAATAGCGCGCGCGGGAGCACATGCGCAAAAAAGTTTTGTAAAATGATATGTGATTAAATTAAAATGATTCATATATCATTTTACAAAACTGTTTTGCACATGTGCTCCCGCACGCAGTATTTCGGTCACAACAACGCAATCAGAGGAGGACGGCTGAAACACATCTAATTTCTCTCTCGCGTGCTCATATAATTACGATCACAACACAGCAAGCAGCCAAGCACACGGCACGCAAACTATATGTATAGCCTATTTAGTTTTTCTAAGTTACAAACTCGAACCCGACCAGAACCCGAGGCTATTCATTAAACATTAACCCGAACCCGACCCGAAACCCGTGAGTTTTTCGGGACCCATCGGGCTCGAGTAGCAGACCTCTACCTGGAACCAGGTAAGTGTGGTACAATACACTCAGACTCCGCTTCGGGCCGCCTCAGTGCCTCCCGAGCCGACTCCCTGTGCTCCACCCCGGGTACGTCTGTGGTCCCGTTGGTGTCTGGGAGCCTGGCTAGCGCTTCCCAGCCCATCTCGCTGGCTCATCCGTACCATCAGACTCGGCTATGCAATTCAGTTTGCCCGGCGCCCTCCCAAGTTCAGTGGCATCCACTTCACCTCTGTGCGGAGTTGCGATGCCCCTGTCTTGCGGGCAGAGATCGATGTCCTACTGACGAAAGACGCAATCAAGCCGGTTCCTCCAGCCGATATGAAGACAGGGTTCTACAGCCCCTACTTAATTGTACCCAAGAAAGGCGGTGGGTTACGGCCGATCTTGGACCTGCGGACCTTGAATCGGGCCCTGCACAAGCTCCTGTTCAAGATGCTCACGCAGAAACGCATTTTCGAATGCCTCCGTCCCCAAGATTGGTTTGCAGCGATCGACCTGAAGGACGCGTCTTTAATGTCTCGAATCTTCCTCGACATAGACCGTTCCTGCGGTTTGCGTTCGAGGGACGGGCATATCAGTATAAAGTCCTACCCTTCGGGCTGTCCCTGTCGCCCCGCGTCTTCACAAAAGTCGCGGAGACAGCCATTGTTCCACTCTGAGAACGCACACTCACAGAGGAGCGAGTCCAGTCAGTGTTGAACTGCTTGAGTACAATCAAGAGCAGGACAGTGGTCCCACTGAAACTTTTTCACAGGCTCCTGGGGCATATGGCATCCGCAGTAATACCGCTCGGATTGCTTCATATGAGACCGCTTCAGCACTGGCTTCACGGCCGAGTCCCGAGATGTGCGTGGCAGAGCGGCACGTACCGGGTGCACGTCACCCCGCACTGCCTCCAAACCTTCAGCCCGCGATCGGACCCTTCGTTTCTATGGGCAGGTGTTCCCCTAGAACAAGTGTCCAGGCATGCTGTGGTCTTCATGGATGCCTCTGCCGCCGGCTGGGGGGCCATGTACAACGGGCATGCAGTTTCAGGTCTGTGGACGGGGCTTCAACTGCATTGGCACATTACGCAGTACGCATCACAGTACGCCTTGCGCTGGGCTGCCTCAAAGGGCCACTACATGGCAAGCACGTACTGGTCCGTACAGGCAGCACAGCGACCGTTGCGTACATCAACCGTCAAGGTGGTCTACGCTCCCGCCGCATGTCGCAACTCGCCCGCCATCTCCTCCTATGGAGTCAGAAGCATCTGAGGTCGCTTCGTACCATTCACATCCATGGCGTGCTCAATCGTGCAGCCGACGAGCTCTCATGACAGCCTACGCTTCCGGGAGAGTGGTGTCTCCATCCACAGGTGGTCCAGCTGATATGGGACTTCTTTGGAGCAGTTCAGATAGATCTGTTTGCCTCTCCGGACTCGACCCATTGCCAGATGTTTTATTCCCTGACCGAGGGGACCCTCGGCACGGATGCACTGGCGCACAGCTGGCCCCGGGGCCTACGCAAGTATGCGTTTCCCCCAGTGAGCCTTCTCGCACAGACACTGTGCAAAGTCAGGGAGGACGAGGAGCAGGTCTTGTTAGTTGTGCCGTATTGGCCCAACCGGACCTGGTTCCTCACTCCTCGCGACAGCACCTCCTTGGCCCATTCCTCTGAGGAAGGACCTGCTTTCTCAGAGACAGGGCACTCTATGGCACCCGCGTCCAGACCTCTGGAAACTCCATGTCTGGTCCCTGGACGGGACACGAGGTTCTAGGTGACCTACCCCAGGTGGTGGTAGACACCATCACTTCTGCTAGAGCCCCCTTAACGAGGCGCCTCTATTCTCTGAAGTGGAACCTGTTCGTTGAATGGTGTTTTTCCCACCGGGAAGACCCCCAAAGATGTACATCACGAGCAGTTGAAGGTAAGTCATTGGGAAAGCATGACCTGATCGTCAGGTTCCTGAGGGGAGCGAGGAGACTGAATCCACCTCTATACCCTCTTGGGACCTGTCTCCGGTGCTCAGCGCACTGCAGAGACCTCCCTTTGAACCATTGCAGTCAGCTGAGTTAAAGATCCTGTCACTAAAGACAGTGCTCCTGACTGCTCTGGCTTCCATCAAGAGGGTAGGGGACCTGCAAGCATTTTCGGTCGACGAATCGTGCCTAGAATTTGGGCCGGCCAACTCTCACGTTGTCCTGAGACCCCGGGATTGGAAATGTGCCCAAGGTTTCTACCACTCCCTTCAGGGACCAGGTAGTGAACCTGCAAGCGCTGCCTTCGGAGGAGGCAGACCCAGCCCTAGCTTTTCTCTGTCCCGTCCACTCTTTGCAATTTTACGTGGACAGAACACAAAGCTTCAGGACCTCAGATCAGCTCTTCGTCTGTTATGGAGGCCAGCAGAAGGGAAAGGCTGTCTCCAAGCAGAGGATGGCCCACTGGATAGTGGATGCCATCGCCTTGGCTTACGAAGCCCAAAACGTGCTTTGCCCGTTCGGGTTGCGAGCACCCCTCCTGGGTGCTGGCTCAAGGCGCCTTGCTGACAGATATATGTAGAGCTGCGGGCTGGGCGACACCTAACACGTTCGCTAGATTCTATAGCCTCCGTGTAGAGCCGGTATCTTCCCGTATACTCGCCCCCAGTGGCCAGTAGCGTGAGGGACCCGTTCTTAGTGTCAGCTTGCAACGCCACTCCCGCCCCCATGGGCCGGATACGTGCGTCTGCTCCAGTAGTGTTCCCCAGAAATGGCTAACCCTGTGAGTTCCTCTGTCACCCCTGCGGCAGTCAGACGTTGCGGAGCGTCTCACGTCAGGCCTACACTCGTATGCATTGTGGAACCTGTGTTAGGCTGGGTGTCCATATGTAGCGGTTCCTGCGGCGACCCCATATGTGTATTCCTCCACGATAAGCTCCTCTGAGGACGAGCCCGTGGGTGTTCTTTCCCCTCTATAATTAGGCTGGAACCACCCCAGAGACTGCCATTTGTTGTCCTACCCTGCTTGGCTAGTCCATATGTGTATCCGTCACAGTACCTCCCTCCGGGTTAGGATGTGGCTTCTGCAGTGTTCCCTTCCCCAAGGGCACGCTTTCCCAGCGTTATCCAATAAGTCACACTGAGTGGGTCTTGCGGAAAAGCAGTGACTGACCTTCTCTGCTTAGAGCTCATACTTCTGCCCAACACTGCGGTCAGGCCAGGAGGCTCAAGAGGAGCGCTGGAAGGGCCAGCAGCCGCTGCGGTTTGGTAGATATCCCCATTCGTCAGAATCACTTCTGACTCACTTCATAGTGAGCTGAAAAAAGGGGAACCCTTTGAGTCCCCTCGCCACAGCTGCTGAGCTTCCGCTGTACGGCCGAGTCACAGGTCCGGCTCCTCAGCGGAAAAACAAGGATGCGAGCTGCTCATTATATGCTCAAGCCGCGATGCACAGCAGCTGGTGCAATTATCGTATGCCAATGTCCATTGGCTTGTTTAGTTTCACTTGAAGTAGATAGGCACTCGCAAGCGATCCCCATTCGTCAGAATCACTTCTAATAATAATAATAATTCGTTACATTTATATAGCGCTTTTTCTGGGACCTCAAAGCGCTTCACATATGGAAGGGGGGAATCTCCTCAACCACCACCAATGTGCAGCATCCACCTGGATGATGCGATGGCAGCCATATTGTGCCAGAACGCCCACCACACACCAGCTTATTGGTGGAGAGGAGACAGAGTGATGAAGCCAATTAGTATATATAGGGGTGATTAGGAGGCCATGATGGACAGAGGCCAAGGGGCAAATTTGGCCAGGATGCCGGGGTTACACCCCTACTCTTTCAAAAGACATCCTGGGATTTTTAATGACCACGGAGAGTCAAGACCTCGGTTTAACGTCTCATCCGAAGGACGGTGCTCTTTGACAGTATAGTGTCCCCGTCACTACACTGGGGCGTTAGGACCCACACAGACCACAGGGTGAGCACCCCCCTGTTGGCCTCTCTAATACCTCTTCCAGCAGCAACCTGGTTTTCTCAGGAGGTCTCCCATCCAGGTACTAACCAGGCTCAGCCCTGCTTAGCTTCAGTGGGCAACCAGTCTTGGGCTACAGGGTGATATGGCTGCTGGCTGTCAGAGGTGATATGATTCTGACTCGCGTCTCCATTCCCTTCTCAGGGAACGAGGGTTACCATACGTACCCGAGACGATTCCCTGATTCAGTTCGATTATGATTCATTTTGGTATATCTCCATTATAATGTCCATTTTGCTTGTGTATGAAAGACATTCTCTCACTAACTAATTATGTACATTATACAGGAAAAATTCAAACTTGATTTGTTACAAAAATATTAATCTTAAAATTTAACAGCAGGACCTAAACTGTGCAGTTAATTGTTTCTATTTATCATATAACAGATACAGTAAAATAAGCATCACAACCAAAACTGTGGATAGCAACCGAACTTTAAATTACCTCTCTTGTGAAAAAACTGTAATTATAATAATGTGTAAAATTATTGTCATGATTCCTGTCTTGTGTTCACCTGTCTTGTGTTTAAAGTCTTTTAAGATGAAAGGTGCGTTCCATTCGACAGGGTCCCTACGCAGTGTTCACTGCTCCCTACTCCCTACTCCCTGAACACGGTACATCAGTTGAAGTGGACTTCGCTGTCAATAATCACTCATTTGGAATGCCCTGAAACGTCATCAAAGAAAGGCAACAACAGGGTCGCGCAGATTATGATATAACTTAATTAAATTTAGTAATTTCCTTTCCTTTGTAATTTAAAATCATATAGGCCTATATATACATTCATCACCCCAAGTCCCAACTGTTCATAAATACTCTAGTTTGTATAATAATAACAATATTTATGAATACTCAATGCATACGTAAACTCAGAGCCGTTAGAAATTTAAATTTAAAATCTCTTCCAACGGCTCTGCTCTATGGTTAGTTCCGACTGATGATGCGGTGCACAATGACAGTTGGTTGATTTTCGCTCTCCACTTCCTGTGAAGTGATGTATCGATGTTCCCTTATTCCCTACACCGTTTGCCCTTCGAACTGAACATGTTCGTTCCCTTCGGATTTGGAATCTCACTTAAGATGGCGAAATACCCTGTGAAGTCCACTTCGCAGTCCACTTACGGTCGAATGGAACGCACCTGAAGTGTTTTCTATTCCTATTGTTTGTGTTCTCTTCCTGTGTTTAGTTCCTGTTTGCTTTGTACCTTGTTTGTTTCCATAGTTACTCTCATTTGTTTCCATGACAATTAATCACCTTCACCTGTCCCATGTTAGCCCCTTGTTATCTTGTGTATTTAATCCCTGGTGTTTTCCCATGTTATCTGTCTGGTGTTGTTACAACATGGATCTTATGTTTGGCGCACTCATTCTGTTCCTGGTTCTCTGGTCTTTGGGTTTGATTTGTTTATGTTTGTCAATAAAACTTGGGTCCAGCTCTCTTTTGCTTTTAAATAGCACAATATTACATTACAATGCATTACAATTATTATAAAATTATAACTTCAGTAAAAAAAAGTGTAGAAAGTTCATAAGAATTTATATATATATATATGTATATACGTAATTTGTTTGTGAAGCGAACTACACTGGTTACACTACATGTTTCTGATTAGGATCATTTGTTTGAGAATCAAAAACATACTACACTGGGTGTGCTGTATGTTTTTGATTCACTAAAAGATTTGTTTTAAAAGAGTCATCTGTCAAATAAAGACAGACATGCAAAAAAAAGATATATATACCAAATTGAATAAATATAACTAGGGCTAACTAAAAGGGATAGTTAGAGAAAATTCTGTCATCATTTACTCACCCTCATGTCATTCCAAACCTGTATGACTTTCTTTCTTCTGTGGAACATAAAATAAGATATTTTGTTTATTTAATGAAAGTTAACCAACACTGTTTGTTGACCAACCTTCTTTAAAATGTCTGCTTTTGTGTTCCACAGAAGAAAGTGATTACAGGTTTGAAATGTATTACATGCACAGTGTGCATGTAATACTGCACACTCATATACTCATAATGCGATTATAATGGAATTTATGTAAACACAATACTCCTATTAATAATGGCGGTAAAAAATAATCACACTTCTTAGCATAATCAGAATAATGTATGTAAATGGGAGTGAAGAGGTTTGCTCTGTCATGTAAACATCTTACTACGACTAAGTCCTTACTCTGATTACTGGAACAAATCACAGTGTTGGTGCACATGTAAACGTAGTCAGTGATGATAGAATTCAACTTTTTGGGTGAATTATTCCTTTAAGATATAACTTCAGAGTGCCTTTACCTCGTGGCTGGGGCTGGAGCCTTTCCTCTACCGTCTCCGGCTCAGGGTGTAGTGGGCTGTTCTGGGTGGCACCGCAGCTGTGAGATGGGGAGCCCTCGAGGTTCTCTGGGCTACAGGGAGGCGGTGCAGGCATTAGCAGTGAAGGCGAAAGGGATGGAGAGGAGCGGGGAGAGATTATTGGGGTGCCCTCTCGAGAACGATTTGGAGACTCCGGGTGCGGGGAAAGCACCGCCGCATGCCTGCTCATCAGAAACTGAACCAGATCTCTACACGGCGGTCCGGAGGAAGGGCTAGCATGATAGGATGATGACCGTGGAGAGCTGTGATGGTGAGAGCAGGGTGGAGGAGTGTGATGGACAGAGCAGGTGGAAGTGGTGTGGTGGATGGTACACGGGGAGTTGTGAGTAGAGCAGGGTGAGTGCGAGTGATTGTGGGTGTGGTTTTCTTGGTGCCGCCTACAGGGGGCAGTAAAGAGCAGGTTGGTCTGGGACAGCTTAGACGAAGGACGTTTGGTTTGACTTTTTGGGCTGGCATGTCGAATAGGTGGAGGGGGAGGCTTGAACGAGGGGGGTGACTCAGATGACGGCTGCACCTTATCCTGAAATAAAACATAAACGTATTGTCCATATTTATCTCCTCACCGTTTCTTGCAAATACTAAGACAGGCAATTCAATTATGCATTATCATTGAGGGAGGTTATGATAATGCTGAGAGAAAAAAAACACATTCTGACATTTTAAAGATTTTAAAGGTGACATTTCCCTCCCAAAAGTCAGCACATTATGAAATGAATATATGATAGAGTTGTCAGTGTACATCAATTTAGCACAAGCAAATGTTTATAACAAGATGGTCAATTATGGATTCATCCAAGATAAACGTTTATGATTACAAGAGTTAATGTTGAGCTACTGATGCTTAATTAAAGCTGCTGTAGGTAACTTTTGTAAAAAATATTTTTTTACATATTTGTTAAAACTGTCATTATGTCCTGACAGTAGAATATGAGACAGATAATCTGTGAAAAAAATCAAGCTCTTCTGGCTCCTCCCAGTGGTCCTATTGCCATTTGCAGAAATACACGCTCCCGGTCAGAAACAACCAATCAGAGCCAGGAGGAATGTCTTAGCAGTGTCAATCACGCTCGTGTACGCGCTGATCACACCCCTCTCTTGCACAGCGCGAGCCGTCGTTCAAACTCAAGATTGCCGGCGTGCTGCAGCTGTGCTTATGACGGAGAAACAACCTAAACTGCCAATTCTCGAGTGACACCTGCTCATAAAACAAAGAGGTAAAAGGAAAAAGGCCGATGACGATAAACAAGCGAAAAAGAAAGAATTACACAGAGCCCATTGACTCGGTGTCAAAACTCTAGCCGCATAACATGTAGATAAAATGTCACGCACTCTGCTAAGCAACAATTGAAACCTGCTAATTCACTGGCTTGTCATGTTGCTGAAATAATGTACTAGCACACCTTATCTAGCATTATATATCGCTAGAATAATTACTTACATACTGTAACGTTAGTTACCGTTATATTAACGTTATCTTACTAGCTATTTATAACTTATAGAAAGAGTGCAATGTTATAAAGTTACATGTAGGCTATTGCAAAATACATAATGATTTGAGGACCAAGTTTGTAGTTAAAGTATGGGCAGGCCATAGTCAATGTAAAGCATATTGTTGACGTTTAGTCCCTATAGTGAATGTGCCATGTAACTTTTTATCCGCTGTTATCGGTGGCCCTGTTTACTAGCCTGCGCGTTCATGACAGGCTCCGCTGTGGAGGACGAGCTGTGGAGGGAGGGCTGTAGCGCAGCAGAGAGCAAGGGGGTGGGACCTGTAAGTTGTGCTTGTTCAAATTTTCAGGCTAAGTCAACGTTTTCTCAAAACTCCCTACTGCAGCTTTAAATAAGAACAAGAAAATGTGGAATAAAAAAATCTATTGAACTTGACAAATTTAAACTTCAGCAAATTGACTGTAGATAAAAGGGAAATATATCACATGGGTGTGTTCTGATTTAAAACCTAATGGCACATTTTATGATGTCACCATGCATTTTCTGCTAAATCAAAGTAACTGGCATAAGGGGTAAAACAAGCTCTTTTGACTAGTAAATGCTACCCCATATTTTTGGGGAGTGTAAAATTACATTGAATACAATGTAAAGGTTTGCAATGTTGGGTCAAATACTGAAAGTGAAAGCATATATATATATATATAATTGTTCTTAATTGTATATTAAATTAATCACACTACCGTTCAAACGTTTGGGATCAGTCTTTTTTTTACAGAAATTAATACTTTTATTCAGAAAGGATGCATCAAATTAACCAAAAGTGGCAGTAAAGACTTTTATATTGTTACAAAAAATTATATTTAAAGGTGCAGTATGTAAGAATGACAACTATTGGTCGAAATAGGTACTGCAGTCGAATTCAAAATATCGGAGATCGTCGTTTCTCCCACCACCTGCTCCTCAGACTGGACGGCGCTCACACGGGTTGCCAGTTTAAGCACACGCAACAGGAACGAGCGCATGGACAATGAAAATTGCCAACGTGCAATATCACAGACCAAAACAATAACAAACATTCCAGCCTGGAAACGCACATTTCAAAGTAAAATAACTGGCTGTAGAAGTGTTTTTCAAAGAAACGAGTATGTGAACTTAGCATGTTTCCTCAATATATGCAAACATATTATTGTATTTTTATGCTTTAGTAGAGTGAAAAAGTTACATACAGCACCTTTAAAATAAATGCTATTCTTTTAAATTTCTATTCCTTAAAGAATCCCTAACAAATGTATCAGTTTCCACAAATATAAACAGAATAATAGTTCTAAATAGGGCTGTCAGTTAAACGCGTTATTAACGGCGTTAATGCAAACCCATTTTAATGGCGCCAAATTTTTTATCGCGCAATTAAGTCTTTTTGGCCTAGCAAACTTTGTAGTTTTTTTTTACATGCTTTTGCAACAGGACGCGGCATGCGTGGCGCTGCGCTATGAAACACATTCATTTCAATGGCTTGCGCCGCGGGAGGACGTTTTGTTGCTTCGTCGACCAAAGCGCAAGCGGATCTAGCTAGACCGGAAACAAAACAACAGGTACGCAGCACACACTTGTTTGGGCTTGCGAGCCGGCAAAATAGTAGGTTAACGTTACGTTTTGAGTGGATGACGAGCGCGAGACGCCGAAATGGATGCCAATAAGATTCTGAATGGAAAGTTTACTTTTAAAAAGTTGCCAAATGGTTCCATTGACAAGACCAAAGTGATCTGTGAGTTTTGTCGTTGTGAACTGAGCTATCATCATCGCAGCACATTCAGTCTGAAACACCACTTGATGATGGCCAAGCACACACACACAGCTGATGCGAATTCTCCGCCCCCTCGTAAATATCAGGACCTCGTCAGTATTTCTTTCACCTTTTTATTGATGGACAGTGTTACATTGTGTGAGAGATTATTTGCTCCAAGTGAGAATGTTAGTGTGAAATTGAACACAGTATATGCCAATGTTGTTTTCAATAAAAAACATCGGCACAAGGCAAGCCGATCCACGTTTCCATGTTGATAACAGCATTAAAATGAGAAAAAAATAATGGGACAAAAAGAAATCAAGAGACATTTAGAATAGATAAAAATGTGCGATTAATTGCGATTAATCGCGAGTTAACTATGACATTAATGTGATTCATCGCGATTAAATATTTTAATCGTTTGACAGCACTAGTTCTAAACATTGATACATTTTTCTTGAGCACCAAATCAGCATATTAGAATGATTTTTTGAAGGATCAAGTGATACTGAAGGCTGAAGTAATGATGCTGAAAATTCAGTTTTACATCACACAGATAATTTGCATTTTAAAATATTTTCAAATAGGAAACAGTTATTTTAATTGTATTACATTGTTTACTGTATTTTGACTACTTTCACAACCTTTCAAAATCTTACCAAACCCTAACTTTTGAATAGAAATGTATATGTATGTTTTAGTGTTATTTCTTTGAGTTTTGTGCCTTTTTCAATTTTATTTTTTGGATTAACTTTAATGGGTCGATATGTGGCACATATTCTGCATATGCTGTATATTCTTAATTTGCAAAGAGGTCAAGTAGAGGCATACTGTACAGTATATACAGTGGGGAGAACAAGTATTTGATACACTGCCGATTTTGCAGGTTTTCCCACTTACAAAGCATGTAGAAGTCTGTAATTTTTATCATAAGTACTCTTCAACTGTGAGTGACGGAATCTAAAACAAAAATCCAGAACATCGCATTGTATGATTTTTAAGTAATTCATTTGCATTTTATTGCATGACATAAGTATTTGATCACCTACCAATCAGGGAGAATTCCGGCTCTCACAGACCTGTTAGTTTCTTTTTAAGAACCCCTCCTGTTCTCCACTCATTACCTGTATTAACTGCACCTGTTTGAACCCGTTACCTGTATAAAAGACACCTGTCCACACACTCAATCAAACAGACTCCAACCTCTCCACAATGGCCAAGACCAGAGAGCTGTGTAAGGACATCAGATAAAATTGTAGACCTGCATAAGGCTGGGATGGGCTACAGGACAATAGGCAAGCAGCTTGGTGAGAAGGCAACAATAGTTGGCGCAATCATTAGAAAATGGAAGAAGTTCAAGATGACGGTCAATCTCTCTCGGTCTGGGGCTCCATGCAAGATCTCACCTCGTGGGGCATCAATGATCATGACCAGAACTACACGGCAGGACCTGGTCAATGACCTGAAGAGAGCTGGGACCACAGTCTCAAAGAAAACCATTAGTAACACACTACGCCGTCAAGGATTAAAATCCTGCAGCGCAAGCAAGGTCCCCCTGCTCAAGCCAGCGCATGTCCAGGCCCGTCTGAAGTTTGCCAATGACCATCTGGATGATCCAGAGGAGGAATGGGAGAAGGTCATGTGGTCTGATGAGACAAAAATAGAGCTTTTTGGTCTAAACTCCACTCGCCGTGTTTGGAGGAAGAAGGATGAGTGCAACCACAAGAACACCATCCCAACCGTGAAGCATGGAGGTGGAAACATCATTATTTGGGGATGCTTTTCTGCAAAGGGGACAGGACGACTGCACCGTATTGAGGGGAGGGTGGATGGGGCCATGTATCGCGAGATCTTGGCCAACAACCCCCTTCCCTCAGTAAGGGCATTGAAGATGGGTCGTGGCTGGGTCTTCCAGCATGACAACGACCCGAAACACACAGCCAGGGCAACTAAGGAGTGGCTCCGTAAGAAGCATCTCAAGGTCCTGGAGTGGCCTAGCCAGTCTCCAGATCTGAACCCAATAGAAAATCTTTCGAGGGAGCTGAAAGTCCTTATTGCCCAGCGACAGCCCCGAAACCTGAATGATCTGGAGAAGGTCTGTATGGAGGAGTGGGCCAAAATCCCTGCTGCAGTGTGTGCAAACCTGGTCAAGAACTACAGGAAACGTATGATCTCTGTAATTGCAAACAAAGGTTTCAGTCCCAAATATTAAGGTCTGCTTTTCTGATGTATCAAATACTTATGTCATGCAATAAAATGCAAATGAATTACTTAAAAATCATACAATGCGATGTTCTGGATTTTTGTTTTAGATTCCGTCACTCACAGTTGAAGAGTACCTATGATAAAAATTACAGACTTCTACATGTTTTGTAAGTGGGAAAACCTGCAAAATCGGCAGTGTATCAAATACTTGTTCTCTGTGTATATACAAAACCTCTACTGAATTACAAACTATGAGACCGATCTATTGATCTTTGAGATTACAAAATTCAGCCTTATGAGTTAGAAACATCCAAATAAATCTTTTGCAATTTTGTTAATTTTATAAAGGGGATGTGACAGTCTTTGTATTGCAGGGATAAATGTTTTGTTTTCCTATCCCTAAATCTTCCTTGTTACACACAAATATAAAATACAAAAACCATTATAATGTTGGCTGATTTTTCTCCACAAAACATTTGTTTAATCCAATCTAACAGCATGTAGACACTCAACAAAAAATATAAACAACTCACCAGAGCAACATCAGGAAGAGAATTTAGACTCTGAAGTGGCATCAAACTCCCATCCAACCTGCACTCACTCTATAAAAGCAAAGCAAAAAGCATTAACAATCACTGAAATGACTTGGTTGTACACAGCAACAATCACTCCAGAACAAAATACAATCAAAAATATGTTTGGGTTTAAGACATTCACGCTCCACTTAAGAGGCAGCTCTTCATTTCTAAGCCTTTCTCATCAATTCAGCTCAATTGCCAGCTTTTGTCGAGTGAGATTTACAATTCATAATAATGGTTGGAATCAAATCATGAAATTACAAGACACAGCAGATCACACCATTCAATGCAGGCACAGTCTGAACAAAGTTAGCTCTTCCTTCAAATAGGCATTATGAGCATGAGCATTGAACGCAAATACATAAATGTTATATTATATTATATTACTATAGTTTTTATGCATCACTACTTTTGATGTATTTTGTATTGTACTTTGGCTCTTTCAAAAACGTACTCGGTTACTAACGTAACCTTGGTTCTCTCTAGAAGAGGGAACGAGTACTGCGTAATATCTTACGCTAGGGGAAAACCTCTTTTCCACGAGATATTGAAGCCAAACATTATCCTTAATTTTGAATTAATGTAAAAGCGTTGCGGCAGCATGCAGACATAGGCAAGACGGCTCGCGTGCCTATTGGCTGTCCTGTGGCAACTGCAGCAGGCTATCGAGAGAGGCCCTTGGTGACTTTCACTTTCGGTGCCCGAATGGAAGTGAATGAGGCTTTGTGATTTTTTTTGTTTGTTTGTTTTGTTATCTAGGCCTACGTGAAATTCTGCGCGGCGCGGCTTCTTCACTCCGGATCCAGCGATGTGTGAGCTTCGCTGAAGAGATGAAAAATCAGATTATATCAGCCCATTGAGCTATATTTATAGGCCCAGGCCACGCCCACTTTGGCGGGAGGTGACGTAGTAGGCAAGAAAGCGCCCCCATTGGATCTGACATCACCAAGGGCCTCTCTCGATAGGCTGCTGCAGTTGCCGCAGGACAGCCAATAGGCACGTGAGCCATCTTGCCTATGTCTGCATGCTGCCGCAACGCGGTTTACATTCATTCAAAATTAAGGATAATTTTTGGCTTCGATATCTCGTGGAAAAGAGGTTTTCCCCTAGCGTAAGATTTTACGCAGTACGAGAGAACCTCTCGTAAGAGAACATGTAAATATCTTACTGATATCTTTAAGATGTATTCATATTCCTGAACACAATGTTCTTAAAATTCCTTGTAAATAACTTTTTAAAGTTAGGTTAAAGCTGCAGTCCGCAGTTTTTCCTCTTTGTCGCCATCTCTGTTCGAAATCTGCAATTGCAGTTATTCGCGGAATTATCAACTTTACGTGAGTTGTACCTCGACACGGCACAGCGCAGATGAATCCAATGTTTGAGGAGAGTGTGCGGCTGTCAGTCACCGTGCCGGTTTGGATACTGGCATTCAGAATCACCGATTATTCTTTTTGGAAGTATGACCAACATAAGAATTTTCACCGGAAAATGTCATCTGAACAAGTGAGTAACATCCACTTTTGTTCTGGTTCTGACATTGCAGTAAATCGCGCTGATTAAATCTAAAAATCGCTTATCATATCACGTAAAACCTTGCAAATTATACTTTCTTCTCAAATTGTTAATGTTAACAACGTCAGCATTGCGTGACTACATTTAATGTCCTTCCGATATGTATCCTTGTTTTCGCATGGGTCCGGTTGCAGTCTCTTTTTTTCTGTAGCCAGTCCGAAGTCCAAACGAAGTCTTTTGCATTTTACAACGGGTGAATCTGTTGTCACTGGTGATTGTCGTTTGAACCTTTCTGGATCCGCCATCAAATTGATAAGTTTAATTATATCAAGTGCTGTGAGAAAAGGCTATAAATCTCCACCTCCAACATCCTCACACGCAATATAGCCAACTAGCCGAGACTCCTTCTTTATGTGTACAGATGTGACGTAATGACGCAAAGACATGCTCGAATCTCCCGCGGAAATCCACCAGTACCACTGGAGTTAAAAACATTATTACAAGCTTACCGTTTTGAATCGAGCTAAGGCAAGCAGATAGTTTTGAACACTGGCTGGTTATGTATTTTCTCAAATATGTATTTTGGATAATTTTTAACCCCAAAAAATCTACGGACTGCAGCTTTAAGAAAAAAAATTAAGATGTTCTTAAAAAAAATATTTGAGAACTTCACATTCATATAAACTTCAAGATTTTCATGAATCCATCTCTTGTACTTTAATTTCATCCACCAGTGCATGCTAATATCCCCAGCACTGCAACACAACCACATCCACGTGCCTTGTTGTAGCCGGGGACTGCAGGGGTCAGCTGGCAAACAGAAGGAACGTGGCCCTCTGGATGGGTGACACAGATAGAATCAGGGTGCAGAAGGCCCGGGCCGGCATGCCGAGCTCTCCACGCCTCCATCTCACGCTGCAACACCTGCCCGTCGAATCGCTCCAGGTCCTGCGCAGCGATCAGAGTCCGCACCTCAGCCAGCAAGGACAGCTGGGAAGCAGGAACAGCCAAGAGATCATTAAATGAAAAACCTGAAATTATCCAAAATATGATACATTTTTCATTTGAATGCAGTGCTAGCTATCAAACTAAGAGTTTTTTTATGCTGGCATAGACAATGGCACTATGGTTTATTAGCAATTCTTTGCTGTCAGCCTCACCTTGGCATGTGTGTTGAACAGTTCAAACAAGGCCATGGCCAGAGGCTCTACCCCGATGTGTGCGTGCTGGTACTCTTGAATGTAGTAGCCCATGGTCTGTCTCTCTGTCTCTGTTAGAAGCATGAACGCCTGTTCCTCCAGCGAGTTCCACGCTCCTGCGCGTACCACTCCAACCGCTGGCATAACACCTTTACAACAGACTGACTGCAAAAGAGAGAAGATAAAACAGTAGAGGGTGTGTCTACATAAACTGTAATGTTGTACAGGAGTGTGAAACCTCTTATTGTCAAGTCAAATGTTTGCATCTACAAAGATGCCTTCGTTTGTTTGAATTTTTAATCATATCCTTTCAACTACATCCTTCACTGCATCTCAGAGAAACACACAGTGGTATTTCATTATTTAAGTGAATCTGTGTTTATGAAGAAATCATTTGAGCGATTGATTCAATAACTCATTTATAAAGACAGCCACTTGCTTCATTTCTAAATAAGCCATGTTATTTTAGTATTACTGATATGCTATTATAGTTTTAGTACATCAAGTTAAAGTAATTGACAATGAGAAATGTTGCTCTGTGAAATAAACTAAGATTAAAGTCACACTGTGGAACTTTTCAACCTTTATAATATATTACCAAAACCCATTGAGATGGTACATCGACTTACAATAGGTTGAATGACACGTCTGCCGTAGCCTGAAGGTGTTTGTATCGCTTTTCCTAGCACTATGTAACTTCGGGTTTCGGGTAGGAACCCGAGCACAAAAAGAACTACAAAATTCAACCGCTTTACGGCATACGTCACTTCCCCCACCACCCACAACTTCCTCAGATTCTGACGTGAGTGCTCAACTCGCGTTTGATTGCCGTCTGTATGTTTTCGTCATGGCCGAACCAACAGCCACAAGGAAGAAGGCAAAGGTTTTGTCAGAGGACACTAAAAAAAAAAAGAAAAAGCATAGTGACAAATGTAAAGCCCGGACGAGGATCACCATTGGTCCAGCGTTCGCTCGCTGGCGTGAGCTACAGGAGGAGGAGGGGTGCCCGACCGATGCTGACGCTTGCCTGCACACAAATGCTGTTTCCAAGGTGACCCAGATAAATCATATAAGTAGTGTAGTATTTTCTGGTATTCCGGCCACAGCCGATGGTGTTATGAGTGTAATAAAATGCCCACAGCCCATTGTTCATTTCTACACACAAACACAGCCCGCCACAGTGCAGGGCTCGCACAAATAGTCGACTCATGTCAAATGTACATTAAATGTAGTGAACGTGCCCACGACTCAGTGCCCACAAACACTACACACAACATGTCCCACGGTTTCTGTAAAACGAAACCAACACATAAGTTACAGTCAGCTCAGGCCGACGGTGTTTTTAGTGCAGTAGAAATGTGCCCGCCGTCCCGCGCCCACATTCACTCACAGACATGTTAGCACTAAGCCCCACGGGGCTCGCCCCGCTCGCTCTCTCTCAGCAGACTGCTATAACCCCTCATTTACACTGCACACGTCTGCGGCGCATTACGGCTGCGACACGGTTTTATTCCGTCCTTCACACAGTGCCAACTCACTTCTGGGAAGCTTCTGAAACGCGCCGCTTCGCGGCCGGTGTAAACACACGCATTGACTAGAATGGCCGCGATCAGCTCCGGTAGCCGTGTCGCAGCCGTAATGCGCCGCAGACGTGTGCAGTGTAAGGGAATCGAGCGCGGCAAGGCTGCCCGCCTCAAACACTGCACACAATCTAAAGACACGGGAGGCTGACCCACTGTCTATGGGCTGACCGGTTGATTGTTTGTTGACTTTTGCGACAGTGCTGCGGAGCTTGTGGCCTCTAGGGACGCTAGACGTGAAAGTTACAGGTCGAGCGCCACTAGTGGCCAAAAGTTCCGCGGTGTGCCTTTAAGGTCTTTATATTTTATTTTATTTCAGTTAATGTTTATTTTATTTCAATTAAGAAAAATGTGCACTGTATTTTTTTTAGTTTAAAGGTAGGGTAAGCAATTTGTTTTATAAACACTTTTTGTTATACTGGTTGAAACTCTCTTCATATCCTGATATAGCAATCAATAATAGAAGTGGTCTACATATTAAAACAAGCTGTTCACGTCCTCAGACTCGGATTTATGCGTTTCTATATCAACAACACTATAAACGGCGAAATTATTCTGCAGCAGTCAGGTGGTACAACTAGAGCTCTGTAAGTTTTTTTTTACATTCATTATTATTGTTATGTTATCTGCTTTGAGACATGAGGTAATGTAACGTTGTCTCCCGTCTCGTGACGCTTTGCAGGCGCTGTGCGTGTGTTCAATATAAAGGGAGGGTGAGATCTCATGCTTTCAAAGCTAGCTTGCTATTGCTAGCTGCTACGAAATTGCCTACTCTGTCAGTTTTAGGTAACTATAACAACCCTGTCTAATGACCCACAAATTGTTTTAATGAATGATTCAATGGCTCGTTCATTAAAACATGGACTTGCCACCACCTACTGGCAGTTTTAGTTTTATATATTTTTTCTTTTATATTTCATATTTCAATATTCAAAATAGTGTTATTTATGGCATGTCTGTCTAAGCCGATTAAACAGTCTGTGTAAATTCATCTAAATGCCACTTCCTATAGTGTCTTATTATTCTAATTGAATTTATTGATTAAATGTAAGAATTTTACATAAAAGATGATGCAGACATCTATTAAGTTTAGAAAAAAAAGTACATTTAAAAATATCAATTTTTTTCAAGTTAACCGATTTCTACTGACAAATTTGCATTGTAGTCACTAAATGTTTGCTCGTTAAGCTTACATGATTTTTTTACTATAATTTGCATGATTTTATGGTGCCTCAGAAGCCTGTCTGAAACCCTTAGGAGGTATCTTATATTAAAACACTGCCTTTAAAGTCTGGGAAGGCAGCTGGCTTCTGTTTTGAATACAGCCAAGGTTATTAATTTATTTTCATAACTGAAAATAAGCAAATAGTGGCATGCAATGCTACAGTGATATAAAATAGTTGTGCAATCATTAGTCACACCATGTAGTTGATATGAACTGATGTAATGTGCATGTTCAGGTCAGGTCAGTGTGTGGGCGGCAGGCACTCATGGGAAAGAGAAAATAGCAGCTGCAGGACTGCATCTCCGAGACCTCACCAGTCAGCCATGTCTAACATGTAATGCTACATAACCTGGGGCAACAAACTTGCTCTCTCTCGGTCTCACTCTCTCACTTATTGAGCTAGTCATGCACCTTTTCTTTGAAAACATGCCTCTCCTCTGATTTCTACTTTTAGATGTTCTCCTTAATCAGACCTACATCACAATAACTCCATATCTGTCTACAAGCTTTATCTCTCTCACTCCCCCTGCCTCTATATCTGCAGGTGTAGCTATTGCTATAAAAACAACAAACATTGAAAACCCATGCATAGTATAATATGGCCCTATATCTAGCTGGTGACTTACTGTGAGAAAAAAGAATCTTCAGAAAATAAACATTTTTAAAGACATTCGATACACGAACCTTCAAAAGGTCAGTGTGAGAGAAAATAGGGACACATCCATTCAACAACACAGCGGAGTGGCTCTCAACTGGTGGGTTGTTACATAAAAAAAGGGTCTGATATAGACTCAGACAGCAGGAAAAAACAATACTTATGTTTAAGAGAATATGCTAATATAATGAATACACACTATCGTTCAAAAGTTAGATTTTTTTTTTTAAAGAAGAAGAAATTAATACTTTTATTCAGCAATTATGTTAAACTGATCAATAGTGATATAAACACTTTTATATGTTATATAAAAAAATATTTCATATAAATGCTGTTCTCTTGAATTTTATTCATCAGAGAATCCCCTTGCCATCACAGGATTAAATTAAATTTTAAAATATTTTAAATAGAAAAGTATTTTATATTGTAATAATATCTCAAAATATGACTGTTTTTACTATATTTGTGATCAAATACATGTAGCCTTGGTGATCATAAAACACCCCAAACCTTTGGAAGTGTATGTGCTATTAAAGTGACATCAAATAAAAAGGGAAAGAAAGAGAAAGATCAGGGAAAGAGAATGAGAATGAGACAGACAGAGAAAAGACAGGGTTGCTCTGACAAGCACTGTGCTTTGTTTGCGAAATCAATACTTTTTTGTATTTAGTTGCGTCTGTCCTTGAGTCCTTTCATTTGAAGAAAAATAGGAATGTCTTTCCCTTCCTCAAGGATTTCCTATTCTCTTTCTCTACTCACACATGATCAATGGTACAAACTTCTTCATGATCAGACTCAAAATACTCAGTATGAAATACGTATATATGGCTGTAACACAGACAGCTTAATTATTTGAATTACCACGTCTTTTGCCTCTTTTCAGTGTTCTACAAAGTGCTAATTTTCATCCTGTAGCCATCAGAAAGTACATGTCCTCCTTCCTCACCTCACACCGTGGGCAACCTCACATTATAAAGTTACTAACCAATGTGATTGCTGTAGATAACAGAGAAAAGCTGGTTATTAGTTGAAATGTAGAGTGCATATTCTAACAGCGTATTAAAGCAGCTGACACCTGAGCCCTCAATTTATAAAATGTATGTGCGATCACATTTGAAACCAAATTCAATTGTTTTAATCATACATTTAAGTGAAGAACAAATCTAAATTTATAAAGAAAAAAACTGGCATGAAAATAGGTTAAAGCATGCCAAGTATGTAAACTGAAAAGCATGCAAGCAAATGTTTTTGAAGAAGAGGAGTGGGAAAAACATGCACATGTGTATTCAGAACATGCTGATATGTATACAGAAATATTTCAGATAGATAGATATTTCAATAGCTATGGAGCCAAAAAGAAAAAAAACACCATAAAAAAAAAAAACAGAGCATACATGTTACACAATTCAGAATATTAGAATGATTTCTGAAGGATCATGTGACACTAAAGACTAGATTAACGGCTGCTGAAAATTCACCTTTGCCATAAAATAAACTACATTTTAAAATACATTAAAATAAAAAATAGTAATTTGAGTTTGTAATAATATTTCACAATATTCCTGTTTTTACTGCATTTTTGATTAAACAAATGCAGCTTTGGTGAGTATAAAACATTTATCTGAAAACCCCCAAAACTCTGACTGACCCCAAACTTTTGAATGGTAGTGTAGATATACTGTACAGAATTTCCTTTATCTTTCTTATCTTTTCTTTTTTAAAATAAATCATTCAAAGAAACATTTGGTAAATTATCAAACAATCACATTTAGGGTGATTTATGCACATCTTATATATTATGAGGCCGAGAGTCCAGAAATCCAAAGTTTGAATTGCACTCAAGGGAAATGATATAATTTGCAATAAAAACCTTATAGCTTGTAGAAATAGATTTTCAAAACCCATATTTTAAACATTCATATCAACCAAAAAAAAAATAAAAAAATCTCATCTTACATGAAGGTTATATTTGGCAAGCTGCTTTGCACTTTAACTCAGAGAGCCTTGGTGATGCCAGGAGTCCCATCCATCCCTCATTACTGGATATTGCTGATCCACAGCCCTGATCACTAAAACTGTCCCTTGGCGTTCCACTGTGCCAGCCTTAATCAATACCTCAGGATAAGACTGCCTCGGCCAAATTAACTCTGTAGTTTAAATGCGCATACCTGCACATAAGCACCCTACTGACAGACTCATCGCCCACAACAAACACACATTACCAGTCTCAGTTCCACCAAGGACTATTGCTGAACTGAGAAATAGCTAGCTATACTGAATAGTCATTGTGATTTACAGGAATTGTGCGATAGCGCTGACTATGGATGACTTTGTTGATTAAAATGAGTTATGACTCAAAGCTGGATGCAGGACTAAGGAAGTTGCGTCAAGAACAGGAAGATGAAGCAGATCCTCTTTGTCATGATAATGTGATGAATTATGTTACACAATCAAACAATCTATACAAATATGTGGGAGTGACACAAACAAAGAAAGAGATGCTGTAAAACACTGTATTAATTCTTAAAGAAACAGTTCATTCAAATATGTTTGTTACTCACACACACTCACACTCCCGGTCAGTATGATTTTTTTTTTTTTTTTAAACAATATTTTTTTATGCTCACCAAGGCACCATTTATTTTGATCAAAACAGTAATATTGTGAAATATGTTTCAGATTTAAAATAACTGTTTTCTACTTTAATGTATTTTAAAGGGTAATTTATTCCTGTGGTGGTAAAGCTGAATTTTCAGCATCATTACTCCAGTCTTCAGGTGTCATGTGATCCTTCAGAAATCGTTCTAATATGCTGATTTGCTGCTCAAAAAATATTTCTTATTATTATCAAAGTTGAAAACAGTTTTGCGGCTTAATATTTTTTTGGAAACCACAATATTTTTTTGGATTTTTTGATTAATAGAAATATTTATTTGAAATATTTTGTAACATTATAAAAACGGGTACACAATAGTGTTCAACCAGGTGTATTTTGAGTGACCTACATACGGTAAGTCCTATTGAAGTGGTTTGCTCAGGCTTGTTGAAGCTCTGATTCTTCAGGCTACACATGATGGACAGCTTGTATTGTATCTGTTCCGTGAAGCCTAGAAGGACACGGCCCTCTCGCTTGCCCGCTGAATGATGGAAGCCTCGGGATCATTCCAACAAAATTAAAGCATGCCAAGCTTGAGGCGCAGGAGACAGGAGGGGAGGGCAGCAGACAGCCCAGCCTAAAGCATTTTGTTTGGGACTGAGAGGGGTTATTTACGTGCGACCAAACAAGCTAAACAAACTGCTTAAGGTTACTGAGTCAAAATACAATTTGAATCCAGAAAACATAGAAAAGATCTGATTGTCTCAGAATCTTTCCTCTTTTGTCCTTTAAGTTAAGCTTTTATGCTCTAGGAAAGGATGTAATGTCACTTCCCTAACTCCACACTTTGAATACAACGAAGGATGACTATGTTGCCTTTTTAGCACAAGGATTAACAACAAATTAGCAAATAAATTATCGCTTGATTTATGTTTCAGCATTGATCGATGCATCTATTTTCCTGTCCTCATTCAAATGTAATTGTGTAAGCCTAAAGCAGTTCTGACTGTAATCGTCTGAGTTACGATTAATTAGTATGCCTCCTCTCCAATCCACAATAATTATCTTGCTAATTACTGTGAGAGGGAACACAGTGGCTGCTCTGAATAAATCAATGGCTTCATTTGAAAAAAGCTTTTAATCTACATTTATCTGGAAAAACAGCATGTGTTTAAAAACATAGTTATACGTGTGTACGATTCAGAGTTGTGGCTCAAGCCTCGTTCAAACTGTCAGTTCAAATCAGACTTTTGTGCATATTCGATTGGAATCAGATCATATTTAGCGACTGTGAATGGCAAAAAAAATCACATGAAACACGCTTTTTACTAATCAGTTTTGAGCTACATTTATATGTGGTTTGAAATCCTATTAAAATCGCATTTCTGAAAATCCGCTTCAGTCTGACATTTCTAATCGGATTTTGATTGGTTTATGTCACTTTATCACGGCACGTAAAATGTAAACATGTGAGACATTTTGTAGGAAACATGCTGAAAGTGACTGCAGAAACAAGGTTGTGTTGTTGAGTCAGTTGAACAGAAAATTACAATACATTAATTAATTTAATAATAACTGTCGCCTAGTAATGCTAGTTTAAGATTTCCCTGATTTCAGGCTTTCTATGACCAAGGGATCCTCAAGAAAGACAACAAAGTTTGAGAAATCACCTTCCTCCACAGCATAAAGTAATATGTACATCTATAAGCTTAATATGACTTTGAAAAAATGATTTCTTCATTATCACTGTTAAACACTGTGCGAGTGGGGCTGTATTTCGAGGTCTCTTGATTGACGCTTCTATTTCTCTGCTACCGATAATGGCTCAATCCTCTATATATTTATAATACTACTTCAGTGAAGATCCTTCTCAATCCTGTAGGTCACCTTGCACATAAATGGGTCTCAGAATTCCTGCACTTGTGCCAAAGTCCTCTGACAGGACTTGGAATGTGCGGAATGGGAAATGGAATTGAAAAGTGTTAAGAGAAGGTAAGCTCCTGGCATCAAACTCCATAATCATTTCCAGTAAAGGAAGACATTCACTTCAAGAGCTCATTTTTGGGATGGAAGATTGAACTAAATAAGTGACAATCATTCAAAAAATGGCAGATGCTGTAATTTTCCTGTCGCCTTCTCTTCCACGGGGTCCTCTAACCATTCTTTAGTCACCCTGGATAAAATATAACACCAACCATGTGGATAAACATCATGTGTGCTCCACAGCTCAGGGAAGGCCAGTCAAACCCTAAGAGAGCTTTGCTTTGCCCAGCAGGATGCAAGTGTTCCTCCCTGTCTTCAGCAGACGAGACAGGTGCTTCACACAAAGAGAGCAGTCTGATGTATCCCAGCTCAGAGCTGTCCTTTGCACTCAGTAATGGAGTGATGTGTATGCGTAAGACAGGGATCGCAGCCTTACAGCTGTGCAAAGACAATCCATTAACAACCATCAGATAAAATCTCTAAAAGACAATAAACCGTGCAAAGTGTGGTGATGGGACACACTGTTAGCATAGACACAAAGTACACACACATTTTTTTTTTGTTGCTATAGTGTGTTTGCTCTGAGATAGCAGTGTTTATTCAATTTGCACACTAAAAAAGCTTGATTGCTTTTGATCTCTGATAGACTGCAAAAGAACATGATGTCAAGCCAATACATTCATATTTTCAATATCACACTGACCTTAATATTAGCTTTTTGTATTCCTATTTCTTAGACTCATTACTTGGAAATAAAACCATAGAATGGCATGCGGTTAGACATATTAAAGAGAACATTAACCCTGGACCTTCTAATGAAATCTAAACAGTTCAAATTCAAAAATGTTAGTGCATTTTGTACCTCACCTTTCCTGAACTTCCTGCTCCGACATCAACAGATAGAACACTGTGAGAAGAGAGAGGTTTTGAGTATGGAATGAATACATTTGAAAGTGCATAAACAGACATATTTTATTATTACAAAGCTTTCTGCAATACTTGATTCTAATTAGGAAATCTCAATGAGTAATTAAGTAGTCTAACTGTTGTCCATTGCACCATCATTTCAGATCTCTCGTATCACTTCATGATTTCTCTTTTCTTAATTGGCACCATATTGTGAATCAACAAGGTTAGTCAGCAGAAAAAAGTAACTTGGATTGCAGATTAATAATTAATATTGTAATATTGGTACATTGTCATCTTGTTGCTAAGCAGGTTGGTTTACTATTATAATGGACTATTTTTATTAGCTTTATGACCAGTAAGATAATAAAATAATTTTCAAATCAATATTTAATGTAAAATACATTTATTTGCCAAGTATCGTATACCAAGTGGGATACTTCACATTAAGGTACTGATCACGATGAATGGGTTTATTTTGTGATGACCGACGGGCTATAATCTTTGTAATCTTTGAGTTTCATATCACGCAGTGCCCTTGTCATGAGCAGATACGAAGGAAAATCCAGACACCAGTGATCAAAATGCAGTTTTACTCAGATTTTAGAAAAGAAGACTAATGAAGCGTGGAACTAAAAGGCACCTTGCCGGATTTCCAGGGGAGCACTTTAGAAATGAGCACACCCTCCAGAGATCCCAATCAGCCCATTTCCAAGAGAGACGAGATCCCTGCTGTGAGTCATAGTGCTATACTGTCATCCCACTAGCATACATAAACTTCAACCATCACTGCCTAGGGCACGTCATCTAACAATAGCGTCTATATCTAGCTTTAAAATCATCTCACTGCTATATTTAGATTCCCTCTTTCAATCCCACAATCTGTATGACTGGAATCACTGACCTGAGTATAATTTAGTAAAGGACCGAGACCACAGATGAATTTCAGAGGAAAGCTGAATATTGCATAAATGGAGCAGTAATGGAAAGAAATTAATTAATTTCCACATAATTGTCTAAATAGGTAAAAGATCATTAAATGGTGTTAGCTCAAATAATTTTATTTAATAGTCTCCATCCTAGTGAGACTCCATCCAAGTCATGGGAGGAAATGGGTACAATCCCAAGAAAACTCTAGTAATCTCTCATGTGTTTCTTCTAGAGTTTCAGAAGAGCTTTCAACAATCTCTGTACACTCTGAGACTTTATTAAAAAATCAGAGACAAGAATCAAACATTTATATTAAAATGCCTCCAAAACTGCATTACAGTGTCTGGTCTATGGTATCTATGGCATCCAATTTTATAGCTCTACACTCTCACTGTAGGTCAACAATTGTCTCATTTATGTCTGTTTTGATCTCTCTTGAGGAAACTTGGGAGAAACATCTGAGGCAAAGTTTATACTATAAGTAAGCGAGTGGCTCTGTGGCTCTATCAAAGCATTGTGCTTTTATTCACCCCAAATAGCCCGACACAGCAACACTAGCCAATGGTTTGAGTTAGCAATTGCATTTGATGATACAATTCCATTTTAGTGGCATATTAAATAACGTACTTCAGCTTTAAATGAATCACAAATGAAACCTTAATTAAGTCTCTTGAGATCCAAAGATGAGCTATGGAAGAGAAAAACTCTGTCCAATAAAATGTTCCCTATTGGAAAAAAATTAATGAAGCTTCACCTTTGGGTGTTGCTATTGGCCGAGCTCTCAGCAATCTGTGCACTAGGGATCCATTTGGTCTCATCCACCACAGTGCGTGCATGCGGCAGCCGTCCCACGTCCTTTATGGTCATCAGCATGTGGCTTGAATTCTTCAAGATCTGCACGGCCTCATCATGACAAATGCTCCGGAAACTACGTCCATTGACCTCCAGAATCTGATCCCCTACCTACAAAGATGGAAAAAGAGAGAGACTTCAGAGATCTAACCCTCCAGATGAGACAAAATGAAATGAATGCAACAATGCCAGGCACACAAGTGCAGAGCCCACACAACACAGGAACCTGTTTGAAAGAGCTGACAGCAAAATCACACATAGAAATTTCAATTAAGCCTTATAAATGATAAACAAGCCATCCTTTCGGCATGATTTGTACATGAGATAATTTAATCTGTATCACCATAGCAATTGTTGTTGTAAATTGTGGCAGGTAGACAGTAATTTATGAATATCCTCTGTCTCTTTGCCAAATTCCCTCAGTAACAGACTGACAGAGGAAGTAAGGGGGGCATTGACTGGAAATTATTCAGTTACATTGTTCAGTTACAGGCCACAGATAAAAGAGCTCAACCTGCTCTCATTAAACCTACTCGGCCATAGCAGAATATTAGTGATGTTCTGCAAATCAATGAAATAAACATCAGTCATGAAAAACTCTCTGAGCAGTTCAGCACAGTGGGACAACAATCAATGACTATACACTATTGTTTTACTGTGCTGGCATAACGTTAGATACCTTCCTTGCTCTAAATCTTTTCACATTTCAATGTCTCCCTTCATAAATTCATTAGTTTACCAAAAATTTTTAATTCTTTCTTGAAATTATTTACTCTCCCTCATTTCTTATCAAACCTTTTGCTGTTATTTTTGTAGCTTTTTGGAGATTGACAGACGTGGTCACTATAAACGGTTGTTGTATGGGGGGAAAAAAGCTCAATAAACATTCTTGAAAAATAAATCAAGTAAATAATGACGACATTTTCATAGGTGAACTATTTCTTATAGCATGACAAACTTCTGCACAGATAAACTGTACAGGTGAGGCTGGAATACATTGGGTGTATGTAGGCTAGAATATATACTCCTCCACCCTCAGCAACATCACACCACTTTTTACACCTCTCTGCTGTCCTTCCATTCCATTTCAGGGATAAAACAAGCACTAAACAGTCATTTTGTAACCGTTCAGTGAAAATTTTGTTTTCTGTTGTTTTACAGCATATTTCATGCATTTCAAGTCTGTGATGCATACTCTACTAATCTAAGACTTTTACTTTTTTCATGAGCCCTATGTATAAAATAAATACCCTGTCAGCTTTTGATTGAGCAAGACAAATTCTAAATGATGGATGGAAGTTCTGTGAAATGAAGAGAGAGAGAGAGAGAGAGAGAGAGAGAGAGAGAGAGAGAGAGAGAGAGAGAGAGAGAGAGAGAGAGAGAGAGAGAGAGAGAGAGAGAGAGAGAGAGAGAGAGAGACAGAAACATCCAGGATATTTACAGTTTCTGGAGTGCAAACCAGTGTTTAAACTGGAGAGAAGGTTGTCTTCTTCTGACATTTTAGGGACACTCCTTAAGAAGAAAAAATTACCTTGGAGAGTCTTGTTCCTTTTACTGTAAAAACAAATAAATACAAATTATTGACTAACGTGATTTTTGTTTGCCCAACATGTCTTTCACAACTGGTGCAAACCAAACCACTTCATTTCCTCCTTTTGTTCTTCTTAGCAAAGGAGAAATAATAAAGAGAAATTAGTTATCGATGTGTGTCTGTTTCTTCCTCTCGGTGCAAACGTTCTTCATGCAGTGGAGTCAGCAGCTATAATGCACCATAACTCACTGAAGTAGAAAGAGAGAGAGAGAGAGAGTGTGTGTGTGTGTGTGTGTGTGAGAGATAGAGAGAGATAATGGGGGGGGGGGGGGGGGGCTCCAGGAACTCAAGGATCATTCATTTACTCCCAGAAGGGAAACCCCTGGGATTCTTCTACCAACCTTTCTTTCCCTTTATCACAATCTCCAATACTCCGCTGCCCCCTGAATCCCTCTATACTACTCCTCGACCCTCTGCACCATTACACCACTTTCTCTACCACTCTGCTGTGCCTCCATCCCACTCTCCTCTAATAGCCCTTGTTACGTCCAAGGACGTATTCATTGTGTGTCTGTAACATACCGGGAGTGTTATGTGCATGTGTATTTTTCTTCTCTCTCTCTTTCTCTTTTCTTGTGTGTCTTTAATAGGATTAAGGGTTACCACCTGTGCTCGTTAACCCGTGAGTGTTGTCCGCGCACTGATTGGTGCGTGTCCTGAGGAGTCTAATAAAGCAGCAGAGAGAGCGCTGAGGAAAGAGAGAGACATCGCGGCGTTTTGGGGTTGTTCCGCTCTCCAAGCTCAGACAAGCAAGTGCTGGTCGCGCTCTTTGGTGTGTGGTCACAATGTGTGTCCTAACATGACTCTTGAAGTTATTTTTCTTTTCATTTATGATCAGTTAAGAGTTTGTGGGTAATGTAGGGTGGAGGATACCCATAACTTTTCTCCTATTTAATGGTTAGTTAGGGAGTGAGGGAAGTTATCTGTTTTGTTTTGTTTTCTGTTTTGTATAGGTAAGGTAATGTTATTCCCCTTTTAGGTAGAGGTTATTTTGTTTTCTTTTGAATTGAGCCCTCCTTCTGAGGTAATACTTTTGTTTTTGAATTTATTTGTAATGTGTTCCTTTACTTTATATTATTTCTTTTCTAGCTTCGGCTAGAGTGCAAAAAAATAAATAAAAGGCAGACATGCCATTTCAAAGTGAACTTTGTTTGATTATTTGGTGAATCTGGGACTGGAGAGCTGGAGATCCTCAAAGTCTCTCCACTGTTTGTTCGCCGTTCCCTATTTTACCCCTAGACAAAAAGGGGAGACGTAACACCCTCCACTGCTCTACATAACTACTGTATACTTTATTATTCCTTTGGGAACAATCACTAACATCAAACATGTAGCACACAAATGTGCAAAAGTATATACTGTATGGTTAAACAGCTGAAAAAATAACACAATGAGACATGCATTATATGTTCATATGCATTACCAGAATTAACCTAGACACTTAACAGCACGATAGATGAATAGGGCTGAATTCTGGAGCGGACTCTTGGACTGGAGGTGACACTGGGCTGAATTCTGGAGCGGACTCTTGGACTGGAGGTGACTCTGGGCTGAATTCTGGAGCGGACTCTTGGACTGGAGATGACTCTGGGCTGAATTCTGGAGCGGACTCTTGGACTGGAGGTGACTCTGGGCTGAATTCTGGAGCGGACTCTTGGACTGGAGGTGACTCTGGGCTGAATTATGGAGCGGACTCTTGGCTGTTTGGTGCCGGGCGATGTGATCTCACCAACAGTGAAGGGAGAGCCACACATTACCAGCACCATGTCTAGATACTGTTGCAGAGAAATGTTTGAGTTGCCGACTGGTATCCAGGGAGCTATGTGGTTGTCCAGCCCACTCCAAAACGGGTCCATCAGTCATTGGTCCTCACAGGTTGAAAGATGGCTATATCGTACAAATTCCTTTATATAAAATTCAATTGCCAGGCCATTCCGAAAGATGGAGCACAGAAATTCTCCCGATGGGTCCATTTTGGTCTTCTGGTTTTACATTCAGTCACAGTCGGCTGTAGTAGATAGCTCATGAAGACAAGGGAAATTCAGGAACAGTTTTTAATTAAAAACTTTGCAGGATTACATAGGGAAATCAAATAGAACCAATTAAACACTTACGACAAACAATGTAGAAATAGGAACTAACTGAAACTGATGGCTTAAATACACAGAAAAAACAAAGGGAGAGACTAACTAGACACCTGAACGGAATACTCTAATCAATTAGTAACATATAGGAAACAAACAGGCAGGGAACAGAGAAGAACTGAACTAATTTAACTGTAAAACTAACCAAGAACCTCAGGCATGAACAGAACAGAAAAACAGATCAAAAACAAATAAGCCCTCTCAGTCAACATTGCTTGTATGCAGTTTGGACCAAATGATTGCATGGTGAGGCTGACGCCTAGGCTGGGTTATACACCTAAGGTGCTCTCAACGCCGTTTAGAGCCCAGGTGATAACGCTCCAAGCATTTGAATCCCCCGACTAAACCTCAGGAGAGGTGACTCAGAAGCGTTCACTCAGAAGCGTTCTTTATGCCCTGTCTGTGTATTAATTGCTTATGTATTACGTGCATTTCCGAGCAGCTGTTTATCTGCTTCTGAGGTGCTAAAAGAGGCCACCCATTATCAAAGCAGAGACTTTCGCATTGGATAGTGGAAGCCATTCGCCTGGCTTATGCTTCCCATGGGATTGACTGCCCAATTGATGTCTGTGCCCACTCCACGAGGAGTTTGGCATCGTCTTGGGCCTGGTCAAAAGACATGTCTATTCAGGATATTTGCTTTGCGGCGGGCTGGTCTTTGCAAAAAACTTTCGCTAGGTTCTTTAACCTAGAAAATCCTTCTTTTGCACCGCATGTTCTATCTCTGCAAGGAGAGCTTCATGGCCACGCCCCTTTCAGGCGTGGGTTTCAACTATGGCATATAAGCCGATGCACTAGGTCATTGCTCAGACTAATAGTCTCCGTTTAAGAGAGTGAGATATCGATAGCATTACAAACTTGTGCTCGCTGTTATTTCGGCATCTGGAGGCTCCAGCTGGTGGCTCCAGAGTCTGCGCTCTACGCTATTGTGACTGAGTTATCCACCTGTCGAGCTGATGGTATGTTATAAATGCTACTCACTATGTGACGTCACATAAACGGCCACAGGTTTTGCTGGCCGCTGTATGTTTGTGTAATCCGCCCGCGGTGCCGATTCTGTGTATATGTTATGTGTGCACCAATTCACTTATTGCCCAATTAATCACTCTCCCCACTATATCAGTCCAACACTCTCTGCTCGACTGGGGGCGGGTGCTGCCGACGGCGCCGGCGCTGCCGTGGCAATCTGCCAGCTGGATGCCTGGATGTTTCAACCAGGTCCGATACCCAATCTGGATGGGGCTAGCCGCTCAAGTATCATTGACATTCACATACTGAGGCATGTTTCTTCCCGTATCAACTCACGTAGACTTGAGGGATGATGCTGTTTTTACACAGCGGCAGTGTTTCCCCTACCATTGTTTTGGCCCCCCTAA